GAGCACGTGCATGTGTGCGTGTGCATGCAAATATATACATGTACCTGTGTATGAATACATAAGATACACACACTCAGCTACATTTGCACACCCCTCACCTAATTTAATGTGATTGGGCTTCTTTTAACTTTAACAAGAAATGTGAGATTTTTGGCTTTATGAATACTTCAGACGTGTACTCAACTTTGACTCCAGTTCAACCTTTATGTCAGGTGAAGTCACAAAAGCAATGTGAGGAAAAAATGAGAGAAAACGTTTCCAGGCTGATCCTTTTCTTTGGAAGGGCCTGGTTTCATACTAAGGTGTCAGTGTCTCTCACACATTTCCTTTGGACTGACACACTTACAAAGAAGTAAGTAATTTTTTAAGCTGAGTGTTGCCCATCAGTCTTCAGACTAGAGAAGTGGGATGATGCAGGTGTTGTATTATTCAGGTTCTGCACAGCACATGCACTTGCTCATGGGTAAATGTTCTTCATCTATTTTTAAACAGCTGGTGCCCACTCAATTCATACATGCTATATCTTTGCTCTGCTCAGTCCTACACTATGTGGTCTTGGCTGAACCTGAATCATCTAGGAAACCACCTGAATTTCCTAGAGTTATTGGAGACACAACCTGAGCCAAACGTTTCAGCTTTTTAAGTTTCTGATGAAAACCACACATTACACAGAACACTTATGTTAGAGTGGGGCTCTGTCACAGGTCAGAGACACAAGCAATATCCATCCTTGAAGAAGAAGTGTACTGTAAAACAAGCAGGCCTTGACCTTCAAGACCTGGGATGTACCAAGAAATTGTGATCATGTTTTAGGACAGCAGAAGGACGGGAAAATGGAAAGAAGTCTCTCCTTTTTTTTTTCTTGCTAACTATTCACTTAGATATAAATATTAATTAATTTCCAACTAAGTACCTGAATGCTTATGAGGAAGGCTTCCTATACCGAAAATGAGAGATCAGTCCATAGGAAATCATAATAGTTACAATCACAACTACTTAACTCATTAGGCCTTTATATATAGCAACAAACAGAGGGCACTACTGCAATTTCAAAACCCCATCTCATGTATGTAGGAGATGATACAACTACTGCAGGTTCCACAAATACATTAAACAACAGACACAAAAAAAAAATCCCCTACCTAAATAAACCCCTAAAAAGTCTTAGTATATAAGATTTTTTTTTTTTAATCAATCAGATCACTTCCTTAGAAACCTTGGTACTGAAATGACAGGAGACTATCCTCAGCTTCAGGATGTTAGTTTGCATGGTGATACTACCTAGATCAAGACTACATTTAGATTTTAGAAAATGTTGTGGATCTGATTTTGAGTTCAGACACATATTAGCATCAACTAGATTGCAAAGCTTTTGCCATCTTTGACTAAGTACATTTTTATGCACTCTACAAGCTTGGATATGTACTGGTATTTCTGAAAACAATGGCATACCGAGTACATAGCATGAAACATTTTGGACAACAGTCTACAGCAGGAGAACATTAAGTGGAGTGAATACAGAACTAAATGCTTTTGCTAATAGTCATAGATAATGCCTTAACATCTATTGAAATATCTCTAAATGATGCACCTTTTAATTTTTGTTATATAAGCATTGTACTTTATCTAAATGACACATACCACTAAGTAATGCTTACTAAAACACAATATCTGAACTGTATAAGGATGTCAGAATGTAATCAGTGCTATTCTATTTAATTTCCATCAATAACCCTTGGATGAAAAAAGAAACACAAGCTTATCAATGTCTGCCTATTGCCACAAAACTTCAGGGCAAGATTTTAAAAATAAATTGTCCTTCAAATTCTCTCCCATATTTGATAATGAAGTGACCTTTTTGTTGGAGACATCAAACAGTGAAAAAGCTAAATGGTTTTTTGAGTAGAGCTCAGAGCATTAGAAAATACATATTTTGTTTAGATGTTGTATTTTAGACACTCCAATTTAATAATTTCAGAATACTGTAGTATTATTTTGAGTTTAAAACGTCAGTAAATGACAAAAAATTCTGACCTGCCTGTATAAATGCAGGCTTCTGTAAACATACACACCATATTTTGATAAACTAATTTGGTAGCCTCAAGACTTCAGCAGTTTGAACTCTGCTGAGTATGTCAACAATACAAAACAAATCTTGACTATTATGAAGATTGCCACAAATTATATCAAGGGAGTCTAATTACTGATTACAAGTGGAACAGCTGTTTGTTTTCCTCTGCTTCATCGCTTATGTGTATTCAGCCTCCTTCTCAGAGCTAACATATCTGTGAAAGCAAAAATGCAGCCCTAGAAGATAGTACCAATAGTTCCAAATGGAGCCTGGTTGAAGATTTTATTCCAATTCTTTGAAACTATATTTATATTGAAAGCCCTTTAGCTCTTTTTTCTCTGAAGGGTCGGGAAGATTCAAAGAATTTGTGTGTGTTTCTGCAGATCAGTGGTTCCCAACCACATAGACAGGTCTTGGACTGGTCTAAGAACATCACCACGAAGGGATAATAAGCTTTGCTAAGGCTGTCGTAGTTTTGTGGGATGCAACAATGGCTGTTTTAAGGGAAGGGGAGATTGGAGGTGGGAGAGTGATATGAGGAACACTGACAATTCTCTTTAAGTGACTTTCTGCTACAGGATGATTGGGAATGATAGGTTTAGTTAAAGAACTAGAGAAACCTCATTAGACTCTAAGTTACTTAACATAAGCATGTGAACGAAACATTACACAAAAGGAGGTAATTTTCATACACCTGAATGATCAGATCAGTACATGGCTGCAAAATATGTTCCATTTTGCAAAAACAGGTATCAGGAAATACTTAGCTGCAGCATTCTTAGCAAAGTAATTGTCTCTGGATCAAGAGACATGTTCTTGCTATGCTCAATTACACAGGGAAGCTACATGAGTATGTTTTCAAGGTAATAGGATACTTTCATTTGGAGAAATGAATGCCTTAATAAAGTACTGCTTTTATGTCTAGGCCTACTGAAAAATTAAGTAGGAAAGGTGAAGGCCTTCATTTCCAATTAGCAAAGTACAGAGTTTACATTGCAACTACATATCTATTATCTTTCTGGAGATTACATAAAATAAAAGGCCTAATTTACTTCTTATTGCTCTGCAATGCCTTTGTAAACAAGGCTTCTTAGGTCTCGCTATCTTTCCATTCAAAGCAAAGCAAAAAAGTAAAGTAGGGAACCAGAAGTTAGTGATAATCATGCGAGTCAGAAGATCACATAGGAGGCTTTGTTCCAGTCCTTTAGCACAAATCAAAGAGAGTGAATGTGGGGGGGAGTGTGTTGGAGAAAAAGAGAACCACTCACCCAATATTCATGTGGCAACAGACAGATTTATTCTTCAGCCCTTCTTTATAATGGGCATTTCAAACACCCAGTCTGGATAGCTCATTGGTCTGATCTTTTACACCCCCACTGGTCCACCCCTGGACCAGTGACATGGAAGGAACATAACTGGTTGGAGTCCCTGTCAGTCAGCCCACAGGCTAGTTTATGGAGCTGGCTGGGTAGCTAAATTAATTTGCCCAGTACAAGCCAGCTTGTACTGTGCTATAATGGGGCAACAAAAGAGCATGTTATTTCAGTTCTGACAAACCACTGGCTTAACACAGGAAAAAATAAAGATATTCTAAGGAGGCTTTTCCCTGGACTGTGCCTAGGAGTGAGGCAGACTGTCAGTGGAGAGGAATTCTAGAGCAGATTTTGAAAACTGCTTTGTGACTGTGAGACAACTTCTTAGCCTTCTTTAAAATAGCTACTTAAGATTTCTAGTTAAATGACTTAAATTTTCTTATGGAGTGTACTTTCCAAGTCAGTATTGTCTAATAAATTGTTGGCTATTATTGACAATATAGTAATATTGTACAATAAAATAAGTTATTAAAAAAAAAAAAAAAGGAAAAAGGAAAAAGTAACAATTAAAACTGGCCGGTGTAAACCGACTGTATCTGACCATAAGATGGTGCTAGTGCTACTGCACTGGTAATGAACACGGCACTGGCAAAGCCACAAGTGTGGAGCATGAAGGTGCTACTGAGTAACAGTTTCCTTTTCTCATGACTTTTATGAATGGTATTTGCTGAGGTCCAGTAAGAAAAACACATCAGTTCTTCCGAAGTCTCTGTAACCACAGAACATCTTGTAGAAAGGGAGCTAATTGTGGGAAAAGAAAATAAAAGACATTTTGGCCTAAATATCTCATTCACAAAAAACCCAACCAAAACCAGAAAGAGATCCAATTAAGAATAGACTCATTCTGTTTTCCCATTCTAATTAAAGATGCAGCTGAACAGTCCTGAAAGTTCCCTCTGTGTTGCAATGGTGATCACACATGTTAGCCAGTACATTAACAGTCATATACACATACATACATACATACATACATGCACACACACCATACATGTATATGCTGTGTATTTTCAGCATCCACCTAAACATTCCATGTGAGGACATGGCTGTATGGAGATCCTTGCAACTCTGCTCAGCTGGGAAAATATCAAGATTAGCCAAAGGCTCTACTGTGAATTCAATGCATTTTTCACCTAGGTTTCAAGTTCCTTTTTCAAAGTCAAACCCCAATATTTTTTTTCAAGAATTTGAACTCTGGAAAAGTATGTAATTTTCTTTAAAAATAATTTCATTATTCTGCATGCTGAAAGTTACAGTTAAAAATCAGTAGGAGATAAAGGATTTATTTGCATTTAATTGCACTGGAATTTGGCAAAAATACAAACAGTGTAAGACAAAGAGTCTGTCAGTAACCATAATTACAGGAGCTACACAATGTTTTCAAATTAAGCTACTGTGCCTCTCTTTTCAGGGAAGAAATCTATTAAATTTTTCTCACAGGTGCACTTTTACTTCATAGTGTTTTTCAACACATCTCTCCCCTCCACTCCTTTTCCAGCTGAAAACCTATCCACAGCTTATTTTGTCATGTTTTCCAGTTCAGCACTGTGAAGTCCTACCTGCACAGGACGACCATCTTCTTGGCCAATCATGTTCCTCCAATCCTGCAGTGACTGCTGGAGGCTTTCCAGCCCAGTCTCCCAAAGCCTCACACCTCCTCCCATGTCCACAGTAACCAAACCTACTTTGCCCAGAGGTGCCAGCAGGGCGTCAGCATCTGAGATCTTAGAGAGCCAAGATGTATATGGAGAGAGAGACTGTGACCTGAAAAACATGAATTAATGTGATTTTTTTGAAGGTGCAATTAAAAGGGAGATGAGTATTTCTGCAGTTAAGGTGACAAATAAATGTAACTACATCCTCACTTCATGAGAGACTATAACTCAGCCCTGTGGACCCACTATTTTGTCTGAAACTTTCCATCTAATGAAACTGGACATAACCAAAAGACACCTGACTGCATAAGAAGCAGTATAAAAGACTAAGCTACCAAAACCAGTGCTGTAGCTTAGATACACTGCTGTATCAAATCTATCTAAAAGTATTCCATCTTGAGGGAAAAAACTATTAAGAATATAAAAAAAAATTTAAAGATGCTACTGAAAAATATTAAACTTAAATAGAAAGAGAGAGAACATGATCTGAGCACTGAGGAAAATACACTTTCATCAACTTAGAGAAAGACCTTTCTCTAGTGCTTTAATAAAATATTATTATTTAAATACTCATTTAACAGTGACACAGCTTTACATACAGATAATCGTAGCACTTTCTTAAACAATCAACTTACTAACAAAAATTTACTGCTGAAAGACAAAGCCTAATAAGTATGGAATATGGAGGGAAATTTAGACAATGCAGGGAAGAATCTATGCATTTTTCAGTACTGTTAATTACATGCATAAATTACTTGGTAACCTGCACTGATGGCAAAATTAATAATTTTCAAAAATATAAGAAGGAGCAACACATATGCTTCTACCTATGACTGAAACCACCTCGTAGTAACTCAGCTGAAAGAGTTATCTCAGCATTTCACTGGGCTAACTTTGCCAGAAGGAACAAATGTTGTTAGAATTTAACAGAGAACTATTCATACATATATGATGAAAACTTACTTTTCTCATCACTTCTTACAGGAATACATTTTTAAATCTGGACTTCTGCTCAGATCTGCCATACACAGCTTAAATCCTAATGCTAGTTTAAGGATCCAAATACTGAAAAATAGCTTTGTAATTTTTATTATTTCCTATAAAATCCAAGTGAAAAATAAAGTGATTCCTTACTATTTTTACGGCAATGCCTTTCATTTTTGAATGTATAAGATGTAGGCCAATGGACCAATTATAAATGGTAAGCAGTACTAAAATAATTACCTATTAATTAGAATTTTCCCCAGATTATTAATGAACCAGGATGAGTTTAAATGAAAATAGTACTGTCAAAATCAGCATTATGTGAATAGAATTTAAAAAAAATTTCTTTGTGTCTGAGTTTCATACATGTACTATTCAAATATGCACAGTGGAGAGAGTGCCATTTAAAACAAAAATGCTTATTATTATTATTATTATTACAGTAGAAAATGAAAATTTCGGACGAAAATATATTTTTATTCAATAAAACATTTGCAAACACTCTCTACAGTTGTGAGAGACAGATGTTAAAACCAAAGAGAAGCCATATCTATTTTAATGGCTGTTTTAATTTATCATACAAGATACTTGTTTATCATGCAAGGTACTTGGCAATGTATACTTTCCAAAGGGAGAGTCACAGAAAAGCTCAAGCTATTGTCAAAGTAAACTTTATATTGGACCAGAACTTGATTCCCATTTTCCTAACACCGGATCATTTTGCCTGTCTTTCTCAGATCCAAAAGATAGGGAAAAAGGAAAAGAAAATAAAGACTGCAAACCATACTGAAAGAGGGTTGAGAATAAAGTGGATGGAAGAGGGGGAAGGAACAAAGGGAATGACAATCAGAAGATAAAGCTACCTTTTAATTAATTGCTACATTTTCATCAGCATTACCTAGTAAAAGCAGATAAATTATGTTGACAAAAATATACTGCAATGTTTGTAGAATTTTACACTAGGTATGAATTAGTCTTACTTTCCACATCAAAAGAAATATTTGCTTATCATAAAGTAATAATAGACACTAAATTCTCTTTACTCTTCTTCTAAGATGACAGTGCTCTAATCAATAAAATCAGTTACCTAGGAATTGCAATGTATTTGATTTTCTTTGAATTAAGATCCGTTACTTCCAAGTATCCAGCAGCTGGCGGAGGAGTGACATCTGAAAACAAACAAACACGTTATTTTTCCAGCTGCATGATTAACAGGTTATTGCATTTAGCAGATTAAATTTAAACATTTTATTATACAGTACCTGTCAGAAAATGATAAGCTTTCATATTAAATACAGGAATATAACTTGCAAATAAGGAATTGTTTTACTATTATGATGGTGAGTAATCAGACAGTCACAGTAACAAAAGAGCAATTGATTTATACGGCAAATGTCAAAATTACTCACAAATATAGCTCTGCTCACAAAAGCACTATTCAAGCATTGCTGCAGTCCCTACCTTGCTGCTTTGATCTGTCACTGAAGATAATGTCAGTTGTATATCTGACTTTAATAGCATATTGAGGAACATTTCAAAACATTGTGTTTATGACTTCCACTTGAAAACTTCTCAATAATACTAACCTAAACACTGTTCCCTGAAACTGAACAACTCTTTGGAGGCAGATTCTCAGTATCCAGACTATCAAGCATTAAATATTCTGTTTATGGACAGTTTAATGAATATGGCTATTATATGGTCCTTCCCTCAGAAATAAATTTGTCTTTATGTGCCTACATTGGCTTTTGCCAACTTATGAGTACACTGTGCCTGGCCTCAGAAGTGGCTTCCAGTTAGGAGCTGATTTTCAGTGTGAAGTAAATGGAGGCAGTTTTCAGAAAAGAAACCACAAGACTGAATCATACTGCCCAGTATGGATACAAATGTCACAAGATGAAAGCAAGTGCAGATTTTCCTCTGAAACAACGTATCTTTCACCTCCTTGACATGAAGGAGTCCAACCTTACCTGCGGAAGTGTTGATGCTTGCATAGAGCACACACAGAAAAGACCAACATGATCAGCAGCATAAGGAGATCTAATAGGAGCACGCAGAATAACTCACAGCAGCACTTCATGCATATCCAATGTATTTATATATCTACAGTACATGTCTACAGGAGCACGTCTATTGACTTTACTCATCTTCATAAAAATGGGAATATCAAACACGTCAGAAACAGGGGGAAAAGGTCTGGAAAAATGCAGGTTTGTGGGTCAAAGACCACTTTTGGTTTCTCCTAGATTTTGTTACTGTTTTAAAATGTGCTCTCTCTCTTTTGCTAGTAATGAAGAGTAAGACACACATTAAAAATTCTGATGAAGATCTAGAACAAAGATAGATACTGAACTAGAAAGGATATAACTGTGAGTTAAGAATTTAAAATTAAGTTAATAAATTAGAGAAAGAACAAAAATCAAATTAAAGACAATAAAAAGACAAAGGACTGCAGAGTAGGAAGCTGACAAAAAGGCCATCATATGTTTACATGCTACACAAGATCTGCTGGCCAGGTCCCAGAACTGCAGTCAAGAATCTTGACAATGAAGTGTGAACATCAGACACGAACAAATGCAGTTTGTTCTTCTTTTGCCAAAGCCTGACGGAGAAGAACAGCTATGCACAGCTCCAGACATCAAACTTTAAGGAAAACAGACACAGTGTTCAGATCTGGGCTCTTCAGTACAAGGGAGACGTGAAGCTCCTGGAGCAGGTCCACTGGAGGGCTACAAAAATGATAAGGAGATTGGAGCAACTCTCTTTTGAGCAAAGGCTGAGGGACCAGGGCCTGCTCAGCCTCAAGAAAAGAAAACTGAAGGGACCTCATCAATGTTGGTCAGTATCTACAGGGAGGGGGTTAGAGGATGGACCAGGCTCTGCTCTGTGGTGCCAAGCAATAGGACAAGAGGCAACAGAGAGAAAATTATGCACAGAGAGATTGTAGAATTTCCTTCCCTGAAAAGGAACTGTTTTTACCCAATCCTGAGTAACATACTCTAGAGGACCCTGCTGAGCAGGGAGATTGGATCAGATGACCTCAAGTGGTCCCTTCCAACCTTAACCATTCCATCGTTCTGTGACATGAAATAGTCCTGAGGATGACAAAGTGGTCAGAACAGATAGGTTATAAGGACAAATGCAAGAATTTTTCCTCTTGTCTAAATAGAGGGTTTTTTAAAAAAACCACATCCAATCCTATTGAGAAGATATTTATAAAGACAGCAATATTATCCTGAGTGAAGATGACACAAAGTATTCAGTTTTGTTTAGAGAAAGAAAAGATGGATACCATGAAAAACTTTTCTTTTACAAGGAGAATGAAGCAATGCAATAGGCCAATTGTTTGACAAACCTCAGTTAAGAAGAGACTACTCGTGTCATCCCGTCCCTATATAAACAGGCGGGTCAGATGATGTGTCAAGGCTATTTTGGTAACATTGTGTTATACTACATGTTCCAGTTACTGTCATACTCACAGATACACACTCAGTAACAGGGTGTTATTTTATGTTCATCTATAGAAAGTGCTGAGAATCCACATAAATATTTGATTTCAAGTAGACCCTTGTCTTTACAGTCTTGTTTTTAGAATAAACATTAATTCTTTGCTGGATTTTACCACGATCTATTGTCTGTGTTTATATTTTGTGTCCATACATCTATTTGGCAGTCTTTGGGGAAATTATTACTTGTTATAATTTCTTTTCAAAAATAACTATAATTTGGTTTACAGTTCCAATAAAACATACAGACAAATATTTCTTTGCTTATTGTTCCTGGAACAGCTTCACTAATACATATTGGAGTATGCTAGAGTTTGGCTGAGTACTTTGAATTATTAATAGAAATGGAAGGCTGTACGCCAGAACTGACCAGTTGTCCAAGAAGATGAGAAAGAAAATCTGATAGATATGGAAACAAAATCAAAAACATAAAACAACTTCTCAAAGGCAACAGAAGTCAATAGTGCAAGAAATTCAAGGGACGGATACATACTTGATTTCACTAGCAGGATGCCTTTGCTTCACTCTACCATCTCCCAGGGAAGGATACAACTTTGATAGGTAAGTAACTACAGGTTTCCAATACAGAAACAATGGAGGAGAATTAGGAGAAACCAGCACTGAATTTCAAGGGACCAAAACTGTTAAGCAGCAATTAGAAGCAGGTAATGTGTATTCAATCAAATACTCTGCCAATTAGTGAGACTGAGAAGGAAACTCCAAAACAATAAACAATTGCCTAGCAAAAAAGGTTTCAAAAACAGAATCTCAAATGGGCAACATAAGGGCTACTACCTTATTATTTCACCTTCCAAGTGAGCACAAAGACACACGCTTCTCTTTTCCTGTCTTCCCTTTTTTACTTGGAAATATTTTTGATTTGTGCCATAACAAGTGCAATACTGGTCCCTCTAATATAGTATCCTGTCTCCAAGATGGAGCTTGAAATGTGTAAGAACAGACAAGTACACATGGTATTTTCCTCAAGCCACCAACCAGATCCAATCTAGGGGATTCTTAAACTGAATGTGGTGTCTATGTTTTTATGCATTTAGTTAACTTTCCAGGAGTTTTTCCAGTTTTCTTTTGAAAAAATAAACATTCACAGCATCCTTTGGGAAGCAGTTTCACAGGTTAGTACTCTATGAAGAACTGTATCTTGTTCATTTTGATGAATTTCTTAATAGCTTCATTAGCTGCTCCCTAACTCTGGTATTGACTGCAAAATTGTTGGTTTTTTCCATATCTCCATGCCATACATGTTTTTGTATAACTCCACCATATGTCCCTTTCCTGATCTTGTCTTCACATTTCGGAAGATTGGCCAATGCAATCTTGTTCACACTTGTTTTTTTATGAACTTATCCCAGTTCAGCCTTCTCCCACCTTGAGATGGAGGACCAAAACTGAACAGTGTTAAGGACACGTGGATTTGTTCAACAATCTGTACAACAGCACAAAGAAGTTCTCTGCTTTTTTCTGTTTCTTCCCTAGTTCTCCCTTGTTTCTTCCCTAAATTCTTAACACTTTATTTGCTTTTTTTCAAGTACTACTGAGTTTGAACTGCTATCTTAATGAAATCATTTATCATGAAAGCAAAATAATGCTTGTAAGACGTTCTCATCATCCCCATCTTTTTTGATGTAAAACGAGGATTTTTTTTTCTCCCTTCACATATTCATCTGTGCTGAATTTCACTTGTTACTTCTATTGCATTCAAAATTGTGTTCCTTCTTGTAATTCTCCATGGTAAATCCTTCCTACCATGAATAATAACCACTATCATCAGCACTGCTACCTCAGAGTTAATTAATTTTTCCATTTTTTTCATGACATGCTGAGTAGCGCAGGTCGCCACAGGATTTCCCTCATAGCTCCTCCTCCACTAGAAAATCCAGCCATTAACTGATAAATGGAAATGTCTTGAAAAAGTCCTGAAAAAGGCTATGGAACAGAAAACCTAGAGTCTTGCTCAGGTCCTATTTAATTGAATCAGTAAGGTTACATTAAACATGATTTAGTTAAAATTAGTCTTTGTAATTCATAAATTAAAACATCATTGAGAAAAGAAAAATCAATGACAACGATCTTCAAGGCATGAAATCTTTCAACTTAAATGGCCATTAAGCACTGTGAAAACCTCATACAATTTTCTATACATTTAAAGCTATCAATCCCTATTCATAAACATATTTTATCACAGCTGAGAAAAAAATTAAACTGCTTGGTCAGACAGAAGCCAGTTCTCAGACTGATAATATGCTCAGGTTACTGGTATCCTAGATTCATGAAGAATGTCCCCCAGTTTTTAATTATAATAACCTTGCAATACAAGGTGTTATATAGCACAGCAACTTAAAGGCTTTTAGAAATAGTAGTCAAGATCTCAATTTAGGTATCATTTGGAAGCACTGAGGGAAGATACCTCCCTTACTCCCAAATTAGTAAACTAATTTTAACAAAAAGCTCAGATGATTTACCTTGTAAAACATCTACTTCCAATTCAGATTTATTTTTTTCTGTGAAAGCCTGAAAAAAAGTAACCCAGTCTGACCCTTCTGCATTTTATAAAGTATGAGAAGATTACAGCTGAAGTTGTATAATTAGTTTCAAGATTCTAACTCCAACTAATTTTATTAACTTTAATCTTTTTAAGAGGTAATTTTTCCTTCAGCTACAAAAGGAGGTAACTGAAGTTTTCTACCTTGTTGATATCCTTGACTTGGACTTCTTTAGTCAGGTAAATGTTTTATCCTCTTGGTAATAAATAAAAGGGTTTTTCTATATAGGGAAATTGATCTGTGTTAAACGAGGACAGGCAGATTAAATCATTCATTCTGTTTGAGTTAATTTGGAATAAAATCTTTAGTCTGGGTCAGAGAGTTCACACAGGGACTAAATCAGGAATACCTTCTTCTGCTGATGAAATCAAGCCACTCTACTATACACAAATATTTTGTGCCTTTTCTCTTTTGATAGTAAACTTTGGAGATTCCTAAAGGTAATTACTGCAAAACTCACAAATGCTGTTATTTAGTACTAATTGGTGTATTTTCAGTTATTGGCTGAAGAAGCTAAAGTTATAATGATAACAGAAAGCTTGGCATGGCAGCACAAAAATGTCTGAAGATCTGTAGTCTACACCTGCTTTATTAGTGTCAGAAGGGAGGATGGTTTTGCTGCATGTGAATTTTTTTCATGCAACATTCTCTTGGACAGAAGAAGAACTAAATAGTCTGGGTCTCTTCAGTTTGGAGAGAAGGCAGGAATGACTGAAGTTTGCCTAGTCGTGAAGGTGAATGCAGAACTGTCACTCACTGAAGTCTGCAATGCTAGAATAAGGGGCATCTGATAAACCTGTAAGAGATCTGTTGGTCACAAAAAATCATGAACTTGTGAGTTTGCTGTGGAGATGCACAGCTTCAAAGAGGCACCAGATAAACTTGTGGAAAACAGGTCCATAAAAGGAGATTTAAAGCCTGAGGCAGAGATGTCCTCTGCAACATCCCCAGCAAAACAAGTGCAAATACTGAGAAAGTACGAAGAGAAAGACAAAGTAGACAGGCTCACATGCATTCCCAAAATAACCTCTCCTATTGTCCCTGCTGGGGATAGAACTCTGAGTTAGTCATACAACAAGTTTATCGCTGCATCTCTGTGTGATGCTGAGCAGAAGCTAGAAATATGGGTGAAGATCAATTGCTGAACTGGAATGATTCTCTTCTATTACTGGGTTTCTTCTGCAGACAGAGGGAAATCCCATCTACTGAGATATCCACAGTGTAGACACCCTGTTAGTTCCTCAGAAGTATAAGTCAGCATGCTAATAAGATTCAAATTAATTTTAAAACTAAGTGCAACTACAGTCCTTCTCAAATGCTTGCTCTGTGACTATTTAAGAACATTCTGGAAAAATCAATGAGTGATAGCAGATTACAAAACAAAAAACAAGTGTGTTGCAGCACAGGTATATGAACCTCTTACCTTTTGGGTAAATGTCTTTCAGAGGCACATCTCCAGGTGCTAAAATTCGGACTATTTGATTAGAAGCCAATAAAGTAACACAATTGGTTTGTTTTGCAGCTCCTGTTTTCCTCTGGGCTCCATAATAAAGTGGATCAGAAGGAGAAGCACGTTTGTGACTCAGAGAGGAGTTTCTCTTCCAGCTATACACTTCACTGGGAGACTGCAAAAGAGGAGTTATCTACTGAAGAAAATATTCCTATTATTAAATCTAAGAACAAACATTTTCTGATAAGTTACACTTATTTAATTTCAAATCAAATGTAGCTGTTGTGGTTACTTCTTATGCTACCACATGACAAGGAATGACCTGGATTATTTTGTCATCAAAAACTCCTATAGGGGTGAAAACCAACAAACCATCTACATGAGTTTTAGGCATCAAGATGCTCTGAAGATCTGAAGTTAAATTTACTTTTTTTTTCAATAGAACCAGCAACAGAAAGCATTGAAATAACCTGATTTGGAATAAATCTATGTAAAAAACTGTTAGGTTTCCATAATATAGATAAATGCAAATAGACATTCCAGTAATTAATTCAAAGATAAGCAATAAGGCTGGGACTTAGCTCCAGTTTCAGAGATTTAAGTATAGGTCTCTACATGAAAGCCCGTGGCTTAATCTCCCACTATGGCTGGAAGAGCCTGGCAAAAAAATCATCTCGAAGGTCTCACTATTTGGTCAACTGAGCACTGCTATTACAAAAAAGAGCTCAGATACCTTGTTCATACTAAACACCTACACCACCAGCACTAAATACTGAATCTGAAGTTTTGCCCCATCACTCTTACATCAACCCTTAGCAGTCCCTCTTTGAAATTCACACGGATATCTAAACTATGTATGAGGAAAGATGGTACCTCATTCTAAATCAGGCAGAGCTAAAACTGCTTCACCACCCACATTGGGGTGTTAGTATTGAAGTGCGCAGCTTCTTTAGTACTCCCTCCTCTAGACCACCTCCTTTTACAGAAATAAACTCACATCTAATGTAAGTAATATGAAAAGCTTGAATAAACCATCTGATAATATAAAACCAAATGAAGGGGAACTCAAAAGCTAATTGCAGACTGTCTTTTTGACAAAAACATATTTTTGAATAATTTTGGATTGCAAAGAATTTTCTTCTATCATTTGGCTTTCCCAAAATTCATTAACAGTTAACAGTTACATTGGCTAATTTGTCCCAATTTATCAAACAAACATGACATACAATCATTTATTCCACAATCACTACCCTTTTTACGTACAATTATGTGGCAAATATAAACAAAATCCAAAGAATTAAACACACTGCTTGTATTTTGCCTGTGTTTGCCTTTATTCCTTGCAAGAGTCCCAGTCATTAGACTGCTAAATTTCACTTTGTTTTCTGGTCCTTTTCTAACTGTGTCCTGGCAGTGAGCACATTTACATTTACACATAACTACATTATCCAGCACTGAAGGGGCTTTATAGTTTTGCTGTCATTTTCTGTATTGTTTTTTTCATTTTCCTTGATCTGTTCTTGCCACCTGCTGCACACTGGGCATGAAGTTCACACTGAACAGTTCAAAATTATATTGATATCTTTTTTCTCAGAGGTTATGCTTAATTAAAAATGGTAAAAATCACATAATTTAGAAAATATTACTTTAGTCAGCACTGTTCAGAGCTTACCGAAAATGTATTTTGTCTGTGCTAGACATTGTATTGTCCCCTTTCTTATTACCTAAAAAACCACCTACATCCCTCTAGATTAGACTACCATAACAAATGGTGTACACTACATGAATTTGTCCCTTGCTGTCATTCCCTACTTTTTCCTAATCATTTGGAAACAGGTACTTAACAGGTTACAGAATAAATGTGACAAAATTATTTCATTGTACAATAATGCTGAGTATTTACCAAGAGGTCTGGGAAACCAATGACAATAGTAGCATAATTATGCTCATCTGAGAAGATCCTGTTGGGGGAGCTGATCTTTTGTCCCACAGCTGCACTGAGGTTTTCTGAAGATAGCTGGTCAGTTGAAACTGCATGAGGCACACTCAGTTCTGACACTAAACAGGAAAAAATGTCATTAAACAAAATGAATGTCATTAAATCCAGATGTGCAATAGGAAACAATATTAACTGTAAGAGTGCTGAGCACTGAACATTGGCATAAAATTACTTTGAGCATAAAATTACTAAAAAGCAGAAGATCTGATTATACTATGCTATAACACAGAGGAGAAGGAAGTAATCCCATTTTTGTAAAGTCAAGACTTAAAATCAGGAAATACTAGCTTTATAGTTGCTTATACCATTTAATTTTGCCCTCTACTGTACAAATGAGGATTGAAGCCTATGGAATAGAACAGAATAGAAGAGCATGTGATCTCATTGAAAATTGTTATAATGCAAATGCTCCAGGAGGCAAACCATAGGTTTGCACAGGTAAGTGTTAATGTGACATTTCTTGGTGACTCTTGCTGTCTTTGTAATTTAAATAATGTTGTTTGTAATGCGTCTTTGTTAAATAATGGTCTTGTTTGCTTTGTCTTTGAGCTAAAAAAAACTGAATTTTATTCAGTGTATCTGTGAGAGCCCTTAACCTTGCCTCAATTACCAACAGAGTCCAACAGAACCTGCTGTCTTTAGTTCTGCACTGTTTCCAATTCGATGGGCACAAGACTATCTTGTTTACATGGCAGTGGGAGAAAATCTTTCCTCCCTCAAAGGATAAATGGTCTGGGTCAACATTAAACCCACATTGGTCTACCTTTTTTTAGTTCTCATGCCACAGATTCTGCCTCAAAGAACAAGAACAGGCTGAAGATGTTACAACTAGGGTTCGCTGGATGATTTGGAAAAAGGTGGACAGGCAATATGATAACATTTCAGATTGGAAGAGAAGAAACAAGATAACAAAGGATAAAAATAGCACAGAAAGCATGCAGCAATAAACTGCCCACAAATAGTTTGAGACTGGAAATTATAATAACATTTCTATCCATCTGAGGAATGATACTCCAGAATGGTTTCTAAATAAGGTAGTAAGAGGAAGGAAACCACTGCACTCTGATAGCTCTTGATAAGTAGGTAGAGTAAACTGTACAAGAGTTAAAAAGGATTCTGGATATTCAGGATATGGTTAGTTTTTGGTATCCACCTGGTAGCTGTTTATGTAAATGAAGCCCTTTTATTTGTCAATAACATTTGTTTGTACCATGTTTACACTGTGTTAATCTCATTTTTCTTATTTATGCTAGTCACAAGAACCAGAACAAAACTTGTTCCTTCTTTAAGAGATATAAAGTGGTTTCTCTGTTTGTTTCCTCTGTCACTCTGATATGTAACTACCAAAACCTATGAACTGTTAGGTGGGATGCACATGTACTTGCAGTCTTATTAAACCAAGTACACTAAAGATTTTGTGCACCGTGATCAAATGTTTAGGGTTGAAAATGTTATCAGATTTGAAGACAGACAGATCTTATTAGGCAGAATGATGACCACTGCAAATTTCTGCCTTACTGTGTAACTAAGACATGCCCCAATGCCTAGCACCATCTGGGAATTTTACTGATCAAATTCTCCATATCATTTAACACAGGTGTGATGGCCCAAATAGCCTCCTGCACACTATCAACAGAACTACAGAAACTGTGACTTCTGCTCTGTTTTAACAATAGGTGGTTTGTATTTTTCTAAGGGTTGGGAAATGTTTTCTACGTCATCTGAGTGTGAGTAACAGACCTGCAACAGTCTACAGCCTGGAATCATTAGTATAATTGTTCCCTTCCATTCCTGTTCTAATACCTGCCTAGTCTTCCTTTCCTATTCTATGTGCTTGTCTGTTTGCTGGAAGTCCATGACTGAGGGTCTTGAATGCTCAAATGAAACAAAAATGCTTTACTCAAACCACTTGAAATTTGAGCATGAAATGTGCCATGCCTTGAGAAAAGCTGTTATTATTAACCAAACATGATAAGGTGGAAAAAACAGAATAAGAGAGATGGTTACTCAGACCTTTAAAGAGTCTTGTTTGTGCAGCTGCAAACAGAAATGACAAAAAGAACAAAAAAAAACAACAAAGGAACTAGCCAAGTTTGCATTCAGTACCTGTTGTTAAGCCAAATCCCATGTCAGCTGGCTCTTCATTCAATGCATGCAGCTGGCAAACTTCACTGCCTTGAGCTTCCATATGGGCATGCTTGGTTAAAAGAAATTTCCTGTAAAAGATACACATTTATAATAATTCCCAATTAAACTTGTCACTCTAAACAAGGACTTCTATCTTCTGAAACAGTGAAAACATTCTACATTTATATAAACAAGGTTATCAACACCTTTTGCTAAAACTAAATATAATTTCCCAAACATCTGTGAGATAGGAAAGAGTAGGCCAGCAAATGGCAGATTTGTCTTCTGGTAACTATTTACACGCTTTCATTTGCTGTGCATTTCTAAAAATGAGACAGCAGAATAACATTTCTTTCATGTGACCATGAAAGTAAAGGAAGCAGGTGCTAACTCTAGACTACATGTTTGTATTTCCAGAGATAGGTCCACCAACATTCTCATTTCTAACGATCAATGTCACCTTAGTAAAATTAATATTAACACACATATGATCAAAGCCAGTTTAGACTTTCAGAGGCTGGAATATCGTCTTCCTTTCCTACTCTAAAAATCTACTTCTATTTTCACCACAGCAAATCTGCATCTTAAACACCCACTTTTTAAATCCAGCCAGTTTCACAAACAGAAAAAAACCAAGTTTGAGACCAGGAGTGAAACTCCTGAACACTAATGAGACACAAACAAGAAATAATGGCATTGAGAAAACTAGCCTGAACTAACTTATTTGTTTCGTTTTCCACTAAGAGCCACCGGTCTTCAGCCACCAGAAAAACAGATTTCAGACTGATTGGAAGTGAGATGGTGTGAGCTTGACCCTCCAGTACATCCAGTACAATAAGGTGGTTTCTGTAAAATTGGAAGCCAAGAAAAGAATAATCAGATAGGGATATATAGAAGGAGATCTGATTTAAATCAATTTAATATAAGGATAGCATTTACTCTTACCCTGTTTCTTTGTAGAACACCAGCCAGTTTTTGTGTGAAAACTCTCGGCACATTTTGTAGTTGCTCTGTATAAACATACATCATAGGAATATCAGTGTTTGTTAGATGTGTCCCAGTGAGTTTTCCTGACTCCTCTGGAAGTGTAATAGTTTTTTTTTCCTTTATTTTGAAGAATCCACAGCTTTAATTATCTCTCAAAATGCTATCTAGCTTGCCTTGTTCCTAGTCATAAATTGCATCATAACTGCATTCATTATTTTGGACATAATTAATTGTAACAAAATGTTCCATTATTTCCAGTTCTAAAAAGGTGTATTTTAAAGACACATATCTTCAGAAAATTTATTTATATTCCATAAAAATGCTATTTTATGTGTAAGACATTTAAACATACATAAGAGTAAACAATTAAATAAATGCTTGGGCTGTAAAACCAGGAAAAACTTAATGATCCTGTTTTTCCAATACTGACATTTGCTTTCAAAAAAACTTAGTATAATAGGGGCAGGTGCTATTCCTCACCTTCTCTTCCTTGTTGCTCCACCAAGATGTTCTCTTAGGAGAGTCTTGAGCATCTGGTGAGAGCAGAAGTCGGCGAAGGGCACCGTTGCTTGTATCCAGCAACAACACAACATTGCTCTGTAAATGAAAAGCAGATCCATGTACATCTCAAGCTTGTTTAAGAGACTACAACAAATCTATCTGAAGCACTTTTGCAATTTGAGCCACTTATGAGATTTTGATAAGATGATATAGATTTTGCTGCAAAACGATTTTGTTGCAAGCTGGATTTTCTTGGTTCATTTCGAAGTTCATAGAGAAACTGAAGAGGTTAAGTACATGCAATCGCTGGAATGATATTACAGTTTTTCCACAGAATTTTATCTATACATCTCACATTCACTTCTGCATAACACCTAGGAACTGGATTAGTATGGCTTACATGTAGCTACAGCTACAGATGCAGATACAAATGCGAGACATACCAATTAGTTCTGTCAAGTCACTAAAATACTTCATTTCAGTTTTTGTATTTTCTTACAATTTTTCTCTTGTACCTATTGCTTAAGTCCCACTGAAGGTGACAAACTGGTGAAAGAAGAAATGGCTTAGTACCTTCTCTCCAAGTTCATACTTCTGATACTGTGGAGCCTGTGCATATTAAATATCCCAGGGTGTGACAACCCTTCTGTGACCTGCACTCCCTGACAGCTTATAGTGTCAGAGGTAGGACAGCTGGTGGAGGACAGCAGGATGACTCAAAAGGATGCAGACCAGAAGCAGATGGGATGGTGCAAATCTCCATCACATGAAAAAATGGCATGCTAAATTCTGAACTTCAGATTTCTCATTTGTTACTTGATGCCCAAGGGTCAACACATGCTATCAAATGATGGGGGCTTTTTAAACATTTCTTTTTGCAAAGTGCTATAGTTGCTCCTAATGTGTTTAACTAAGAATTCAAGACAATAGTCATTCAATAGTTAAGGGCCAACCTTAACTGCATCAAATGAAATTCCAAAGGTACAAAGGAATAAGTTAATTAAGCCTTGAGCTCAATTTTTTGTTGGCCATTCAAGGAAACATTCACTTCTGCAAGGACATTGGGTTCTGAAAGGACTTACTAAAAGTAAACTGCCTACGTACAACATGTGCAATAATGCACAATAGACGTTAAGGAAGTAAAACATAAATTCCCACGAATTCCCTTAAATAAAACAAATACGAACAATCTGAGTCACAGCAGTTTTGTTCTTTTGGGTACTCTTCATACTTTCACTAGAAATATTTGTGAGAGTTAACTTTAATAATGACAGTAATTTGAAGCTAAATATGGTAAAGTATTTAAAATATTATCATGTTATTTAGAGCATTTGGGAATCTCAGTTCAAGTTCAATATTTCTAAAAAAAGAAGCTTGCTTATGTATTACAAACTAAAATTACAGAAATGTGATTCAGGGAAAAAAAATAGGACATTTGCTTTGGATTTTGGTTTTCTGCCATATTTTATTTATACAAGTCTGAAATAGCATTAGCCTTCCACGTGAGATAAAGAACACATATGAATCAATTACATTCTTCCATTTAGTGTTAAATTTATGAGAGCAGTTGGTAGTATAAAAAGCTTCTCTACTCCACCCCTTTTGATGTTAATGGTTTCCTTCTGCGCTAAGTGACTGATGCATATTCTGTCTGTTTTTAAAAATAGATTTTTGCGTCACTTGTGAACACATCCAAGAGCAGCTCTGGCAACTCTTCAAGTGGGCTGGGAGAAGTTGTTGGTGTGCAATTCCGCTCTGTTTGTTCTTGACTGGGAGAAAAGTAACCTTTGAGTGACCTCCCGACCCCAGTGTCTGGAATTCCAAACTCTGGACAGATGCAATAACCAATCTTGTGAAGTGGTGTGCCTTTATTTTTAGTTACTGCAAAGTTTCCCTTTCCTTACTGCCATTTTTATTTTAGCCAGCATTTTCCTCTAAAAAGTTCTTAACCAAACAGGACTGTGACTTCATTTTGCTGGTATAGGAAGTTATTCCTTATGGTTTTGCAGACAGAGGGGAGCTTGGCGAAGTTTCAGAGTGGGACAGTGCAAATAACTCAGTTTAACATTCTTGTATTCTTCTCCCCAGATTCACTGTCAGTTTTGATCTGTTCTGCCCTCAATGCTCATGTCCTCAGCAAGCAAGCTTGCATACATAGTCTGTTTTAGACTGAGGCTGATCCTTAGCTTGGCAGGGCAATCATACATCCTATGGCCTCCTGTCCCACCTTTTCTATTAGAGCTACTCAAGGATCTCTTGAGTGATAGAAACATTACAACCTTGACACTGTAAATAATAGGAACAGATAGAAACATTAACACACTGTTCATCAGGTTCAATTGGAAAAAGTCTGTGCAAAAATTTATGGCTTGGGGCTCAAACCATCACGTCTTCAGAGGTAGGGAAATGTTTGCAAGTAGATTACTGGTGTTCTAATTAATGCAAGTGGTGTCTTGCAGATGATTTGGGAGACTGTATTCAAGATTTCAGTGAACTGAGAACAACAAGTAGTGGTATAAGCTTTCTTTGTGCTTATGGAAAATGAGCCTTCTCCCATTCTACGGAACGTGCACACATTTCTATATAAGCAGACCTTTCCTATACGGTGTACTCATAGAAAAGGAAAGTTTTATATGATATATAAAAAAACCCCTAGTTTTTGAAGGAAATAAGAAAATGTACCCTTTGTTCTGAGGAAATACATCAGAATTTCATAGGGATTAGAGGTTACAGAAGTTACTATGTTACTGATATTTTCATATTCAGATCCTCACTTGTGCTACAGGCCAGATCACAAACTGTTGAAAGAAGTCTTCTTTTAAAAAATGGTTGCCATCTCCTGCATGTGGTGATTGAGGTGGATCTCTGTGTCAGTTTCTGTGCCACAGACTCTCTCACTCCCTTGTTATCAGAGAGCTTTGACACAACTGCAGCAGCACGTGGGACAGGGAAAAGCATTTCCTTCCCCCCCACCCCACTTCCTGACCAAGAAAGATAAAAGTAGAGTTAAAGGATGCCAGCAGGAACAGCAGCCTGTACAAAGCTTGTTGTGCTCCCTGAGGTAGCCTGTAGGTTACTCTGTTTGTCCAGTTGTAGCCTTTCAACACAGTAAAGCGCTTGTAAAAAATCCTGGAAGTGTGCTGTTAATTTATGAGCAAATCAATTCTCCATGTGCAGTTTGCTCCTACAACCCCATATAAAATCATGCATAAAAATTATCAAAACTCTTTTCTGTCTGTACTTGTTCTTATTCTGAGCAGTCGATGTGAGAGATGCAGAAAGGAAAGTGCATACGGAGGGCACAAAGCTCTAGCAGAAAATAAGAGTAGGTCCTGAAGTACTTGTGGGGAGGACAGATGGCAGAGGCATTGCTACTTTGAAAAGATGAATGCAATTCCCATCTTACAAAGTTACTTGAGATTTCTTCAGAGTCCTTTCAAAGTCTATGAATTTAGTCTGAACAAAAAGAGTCAAAACAGCTTGCACTCACTGAGACCAATGGCCACCATGAGGAATAAAATCATCTACCCTTTCTTCCAAGCAGATGTAAATGTGGCTTAAAATCAGATAAATCTCCCACTTGTGCCATTAAGTTAAATCCCTGAGGAGTTTACTTTCAGTAAATTTTTATTTAAAAGGACAGGAAGAAATAGTGATTTTTCATTTTATTTCACTGGAGGGCTCTACTGAATCTGGATGGATGTCATCTGGGAACAAGATAAAACCCACAAGCTTATTTGAAGAGCCACAATATAATAATTTCATCTTTTCCAATAAGATTATCATCCATTTAAAATTGGTTTTTTTTATAACTTAGTCAGAAACATTAATCTCCAAAGATCTTTATTACAAGAAAAAAATTGAAAAAGCTTCTTTTGGTATTGTCTAATTAATGCATGATATTGATTATTATGAAATAGCAGCTGTCAAGTGGTCACTTTATTTAATAGATGCAAGTTATTTTTTTTTACAAATATTGTTAATACTTCTTAGTCTTTTTGCAACTAAACACAGATGAATCTCTAAAGCATCAAATGTTATTTATATAAAATTTTATTTGTTTTTCTTGTTTTGTTTGATGCCCCCTGGTACAACTAGCTAACTCTTGTAGCCTTGCTCAAAATGCAGATGTGCCTCTTATTTACTTTTCTTAACATGTGAATGCTGCAAGTTCTGAGTTTGTGCCTGCCAGGGATCTTAGTACACTCAAAAGTAGGCACCTTGACTATATGTCAAGTCTCTTTCTGTAGCCAGTGGGAAGAGAGAGAAACTTCCAGAGGGCAATTAAACATGTTCTACTTGAGCTGAGAAGAAATGCTCTTCAGGTTACCCCTGTTCTCACAGCAAATATATAAGGTACTTGGATGATTGTCTTAGGCTATTTGCTTATTGGTAACATCAATAATAATGGATTAAGAACATCCACCTTATTTCACAGGTGCACAGAGCACATGATTTTTCCAGGGCTCCACAGGAGGAGTTAGGAATAAAACCTAAGCTCTGTGTGGAAAAATTACACTGCTCGAGAATCCTTCTTGTGATTCAGTGGGAGCTAGAGATCCCAACACTTGAACCCCAATACATGGAAGGATAGCAGTGGCTGTGAAGACTACAACAGCAGCACTTGTCTAACCTTGTTTTAACGCCTCACTTAAGAACCAATCTCAAATAAATTACCAATGTAGTCCATGGATATAAGCATGCAATATACAAGAGAATAATCTTCCTTCTTTTTTTGTTTTCCAAGTTGCTTGCTTAAGTTCTCAAGAAGTCTAAAATTACTTCTGAATGGTGTCCTAAGAACAGGACTTTTTGCAAACAAGTTTGTAATTAAATGAAACATATTTTCTCAAACAGCGAATAAGGTCTGCCCTTAATGGTAAAAATAGGTAAGAAGTTCAAAGATAATGCAAAACATTGAGAATATTTTAATTCTGTATTATTTTCCAGTGTAAAACAGGCTTATTTACAGACAGGATGTATTCACCTGTAGCACTTGCCAAGTACAAGTGCTGAAACTGGCAATATTTAAGCTTTGCTAGAGAAAGACATGAGGTTATAGCATGACTGAAGTCATCTGGAAAGGGACACTGACTTCCACAGTCTCTCCATGTCACAAATTTTATTTCAGAGTCTGAAAAATGTATCTATCATACATCACTAAAAGGTATATTCCATGAGGACAGCCAAAACCAGACTCTGAGATAACTACCTAAAGCTTCATGGAAGAACCTTCATTTCTGACACCAGATGCTACTGTGGTTTGGTGAAAAACAAAATGGTAGGAATTTTTGAGATTTGGAATGCAAAGAATATTGCTGGCTTTATATTAAAAAGTGTGAGACTTTCTAAACATTCTTAGATACAAGACAGACTGCCATCTGTTTTAGTTTCCTGCATCAACTTCTCCAAAGGAAGCCAAGGATTATTTAGAACCAAAAAAATGTGCTATGTGCACCTCAAAATAGCCCAGACGGTATTTCTATAGCTGGTCAACAAGCAGGTAACCGCAGAATCATATTGTTTCCAGTTTGCATTGGAAAGTATCAAACAGGCAGCTGCACCTGCACAGGCAGTTCTACCAAAGGCAGAAGAATTGTGTTTCTCATAAGGCACCGAACTTAACAGCAGCATCTGACACCACAAAGTAGCAGCAACACTTGACAAATATTCCTGGAACAACAGCACTGCAGAAACACTAGAAATGTCTGAAAACTATTAACACCCCAACTCAACGTAGGAAAGGTTCTTCTAGGTTGAAGTCTCTCACTTACTGAAACACTGACAGGAGAAATTCAAAGAAAGGGAAAAAAAGCCAACAATAATGACTGATTTAATGCCAGTGTGAAACCACATTGAGTGCTAGGTAGCCTAATAAACTATTTTTAATGTTAAAAAATGAACAGCAGCAGCAGTATATACTGTTTCCTGTTCCCACTCCTGGGCAAAGAAATCTTGAATTGGAAATGTTACAATCAGCTCACAGATAATAAGGGAAAGTGCAAAGTATGCAATAGTTGTCTTTAAAAAAGCATTTGAGTCAAACCAACACTGAAATTGTTAGTGGTTCTCAATTTGCGTTGTGTATGTCAAGGCTTACTTAGTCTTCCTTCTAGTCTCAACACTTCACAGGTTAGAGAAGCAGAAATACAAGGATTTACAAAACAAATGTGGAGCAAATACAAGCAACATTTTACTTGGTGACTCAGAAAATGTCTCTTTTATATACTAGTTGAAAAGTAAAAGTGGGACAAGATTGGAGCATAACTTAAGTTCACATAAAACACTTTATGTGAAGTTAAGTTCTTTGCAGACATATGCTGTTTGACTGAGACTCCTGAACTTAACCCACTCTCCCCCTTTCTCCCATAAGCCCAATCTCCCTCTATCTCTATTAAGAGAAGATAAGCAGGTAGAACTCAGCTTCAAGAATGGAAAAGAACATTGTCCAGCTAAAGCGTGCAAGAGGAAAATCTCCATTTAAAAACTAAAGCTGAAGGAAACTCTCAAGCTACAAGTACAGTAAAAGAGAAAACATTCAGCAGGAGGTAGCCTTGTCCAGTCTATAGAGGTGGAGTCCCCAGTGACATACCCTCGTGGTACTACTTTGCTCATAACTAAGCATTTAGCTGGAATTTAATTTTTTTACCTCCTCTTCATGTAGAACCACTTGACCTTTAAGTGGATTTCCCAGTGGTGCTGCAGTCACAAAAGGTTGCCAGACACTTCCAACTGTTCTTGGGAAGAGGTCATAAAGATCCACAAAGTATCCAGTCTTACTAGAAATGTTCATGAAGTACAAGGAAACAGGATTGCATGTAGTAACATAGAGAACATTTTTATGTTCTTCTTCTGAAATAAGAAAACAAAATAGTGAAAAGTTACTGACATTGTGCATTTCTCTTCTGGAAATAGATACGTCATAAACTTGGCAGATGATACAGCAAAAAGTACTGAAAAATTACCACTGTTGACAAGGGAGATAAAGAGAAATGATCTCTTGATATTAACTAAAACTTAAAAGGCAGAACCTTGCCACAACACTATTAACTCCAAACAAGTAGTCCAAGATACATTTGTGTAGGCATGACTGCAGTGTCTGCCAGCTGCTAGTATGCTCCTCTGATTTTCTGGTTTATAATCTTGTTTCTTCTTCTTTCTCATCCTATCCTCCCTTTAAATTAATGTATTTAATAATTAAACATAGTACATTATACAAACATTGCACAGAACTTTTCACATAAACCATCTTCCTGAAAAATTTCAGACAACTCTTGAAACCAATAAAAGCTACCTAATTTCTGTTTCGCTTCCATGAATGTCTGCTAATGTATTTGTAAATTGGACTGCAAGTAGAAAGAGCAGCATTCCAGTATTGATCATTAAAGATGGGTATATAATACATAATAATGTTCAGACTGATGCCTTGGAATGGCTACCTAGAACAGAGGCTAGACAGAGTTAGAGAATAAAGCAGGAATTTATTAAAGGCCTTTAACCTATACACCTTGGGCAGTGCAAAAGCCTTGCAGAGGCTACACCCAAGATGGACAATGGCCATGAATTTTTCAGGCAGATATGCTTCGTCTATTTGCATATCAGAGGTTAATTGTCCAGTTACAACTTCAGGGAATGAAGTCCTATTCCCCCAGTTTGCTCCCTGCCATACACTTTTATTTATACTTTTCAGAGCCTGAGGCTCTCCTCTCCTCCTCACCCTCAACGTGAGGGTGGCGTTGGTTCTCAGGCCTGGAAGGATTGTTTTGTCTGAACAAAATGGGAAGAGAGCTTACTAACACTCTGTATGGAGTTCACAGTTATACAATAATACAGGACAGGATCTGAAAAATATAAAAGCTAAAAACTTAAGGCATCAAGACATGCTTAATGATGAACCCTAAAAACATTTATGAATATTCCCAATGGTGCAATTCCCTCTGGGACATAAGCTGTAGAGGTAACTAAGGCAGGTTTGGTCCAGTGAGAAAGAATCAGTATGAGCACAGAGTTAAAAAACACAGCACTCTCCAAGTTAAAAGATTTCTGTTAAAACTGAATTGAGAGAGGAAAAGTCAAAGAATTGTTTTTCTCAAGTAATGCAATGTTGAACACACAAATTTAACAAACTTGCAATTTTGTGGCTGTTCTACTTTAATTACACATCTTTCTCTTAGTTTGAGAAAGATGCATATCCTTACAATGACCACAATGACTCAGTGAAATTATGCACCAATTTCAGTGAATTATTTTTGCATTTCACCTACTATTTAAGAAAAAAAGTAGAAATAGGTAAGTTATTATTCCTATAGTTCACTCCTATACTCTATATTTTTAATTCTCATATTACAATTCCTAGTATTATTCCTATACTCTACTTCAAGCATATCTAGCAATACACACTACTGTAAATACACTGGAGTTGTTACTACACCTGAAATCCCTCATCTTGCTCTTTTATATTCTGCCACTGACTATTGGCACACACTTAAGAAGCCAACAGGCCAGTCCTTCCTCATCTCCAGGACATCTCACCTCTTTGTAACATTGCAGATCATTACAAATGTCAGTAGCTTTTCTTACTGTACCTTTTGTTACTGTGACGTCGCAAACCAAGTTAATTTCATCTAAAGGCAGTGTCCAAAAAGCAAGTTCTTCTGTGAAACTGATGGACCTGGCTTCATGTCGTTCCAGTGGAAAGCCTTGAATATTTAAGTGCACAGGGCCCTAAAACAAATAATAATCATGAGGGCTTCCTAAAATATTCCACTCCCCATTCTTTATGAAAATACAGAAGTCTTCTTAATGCTATAATACTATTAACAATAAAAAACCACTAAATAATTTAATATTTATTACTAAACAAATTAAAGGGAAAAGGAAATGCCTTTTATATAAACTCTCTGAATGTCCACACTATCATTTCCTTTACAGTATAGAAACCTTGTGCCTCTCTTTAGTCTTTTCATGGTTTGGAACCATTATCACTTAGTGGCACAAGGAGATATCATATACCGCTGAAACACAGTTTATACAAGGAAAATACCAGAAAATTTCTGTTTCAAATAAATTATATGGCAATTTCTTATTATATAAAGTTTAAATCTCACCCATACACATTAGAAGTACAGGTTTTTCCTTACTCACTGGAGTAATAATTACTGAAGTTAAGCCAAGAACTCAGAGTTGAAAAGGAATTAGAAACTTTGGCTGCAGATCAAATTGTACCAAAGGTTCAGATTCAATCTTGCCAGTGCCAAAGACCTGTAAGACTTCAGCTGCAGGCAAAATAGAAACAGAAAGCAGCTTCCTTTTCAGTCACTGATCTTAGCCAAAAATTGAGATCTGGGGCCTGTAACTGGCCATCCCCAAACATCCAAGACAGCTACAAAGTTTCTTCAGATAAGGTATTTTCAATATCCTTATACATACTTCTTTTCAAGAACTTCTGGCCAAACTTACTGGTTTTCAAGCACATCTTACACTGTGACAGCTAGGTATATGAAAATGATAATTTTTCTAGTCAGTGTAAAAACTCCAAGAACAAGCGACAAAGACCATGCCTTGTACACACTCTTTTTCCTGAATAAATTAATCACATTTTAGACTTGTCACAACCCAATAAATAAAACCAGTAGTATATGAATAAAAAAATAATTTAGAAGACAAACCTTTACATCTATTTTTTGAGTTTCTGATGGACACAGCATTTTCTTTTGTGCATTTCCTGGCTGATCGACCTTCCAGTAGCCCACAAACTTATGATCTGGTAATGGCAGTCTGTCAAATAATGTAGGAACAAATTAATTTTTACATTTATTAATCAGTAAGTGATATGGAATAAATAATTTAGACAACTGCATTTTTCCAGCAAAATATATCTGACGACTCTCTTGCAGAAAGTGTTTCCTTGCTAAAGTATTTCATTCCTTTTTATATTTTAAATCACAAAAATTTTAGCCTTCTGGGCTACTAATACACAGAAGCAATGTATATAATATGGCCTCAAAAGGAAAAGCTTTCCATTCTGAATTATGTGAGATATATCCAAACCATCTCTTGCTTTGCTTTATTTGGATCAGGCTGCGCCATCACCCCATTAAGAACTCCAGTCAGTAGCTCACTCTTCTAAAAGACCAGCAAAATAAGCACAGTAAGCTCTGTGGCTCGTTCACCATGAAAGTCGCAAATTATTTGTGTTTATTTTACCACTGCTCACATGAAAAAAGGTAAAGGAATACATACATGAGACTATCCCATTGCCTTCTGGCCAGTACAATCTACAGAAAATATAGGGACATCTTCAAAAGCCACATTTGCTTGCCTTGGTCTAATTTCCTCATTTCTGTATCTTTTATCTAAGGAAGAAATATGTGGACCACAGCAAAACTCATTTATACAGGAAAAGAAAAGGCTGATGTGTGACAATGTAGCATCACAGCAAAATACAGACAGTGCAATTTTTCTTTCTTTCCTATGAAGTGATTTACAGTCATTGAAAGCAGTTTGACTTCATTAATTGGCATAGATACCTTCAAGCTAACAAACTCATAACTTTTGGCTTCTTTTTTTTGGGACCAGTTGCTCCTAAAGACACCTCCTACCAAAACAGCATTCTGTGTTACATGCTATTGCACATTACTGCACAGCTACAGGACTTGGCAAGAGAATAAAAGACATTCCTTCTCCCAGTTTCTATAAATATCTTCAAAGTCTATTTTAAGGAAGTTCTCTTAGACTGTTTGTTAAAAGTATCTGCTTGGTCTCTTCTGTCCTATCTGATGATGCTTGTTCCTACTGTTACAATTATCTTCCTTCTCCTCACCAGCCAACCTGGCACTTTTAGATATCAGAGGATTGTTCAATTTCTTCTCTATATTATTTTCAGAATAAGAAGGGATCCCAAATTAAAAAAAATTGAAATATCACTTGGACTATATACAAAACTTAGAGAATTTTAGTTTTATTTTATTTTTCCCCTATGAATTTATGGGAAAAATCAAGGGATGAATACAGATATTCCTTAATTTTTGCTACTCATTCAGGAAAGATGTCTCAACATTTCTTAATGATATATTGATACGAAACCTCAAGCAGCCAGAAGCCAGAAGTCGCAGGCATTCACTCAGCCTCCATCACCATTCTATGTCTGGACCATCTGCCAAGGCAGTCAGACTGCCAAAGACACTGTTTCGCAAACAGAAAATGGTTTGGATGCTATTGATCATTGGTGCTCACAGATAAATAAATGGCCAGCTGCCAGCAATGTGCCATTGGGGCAAGTAATGAGGAAAGAGTATCTCATTAATTCACTCTCTTAGTCAAAGAACCAGGAGAATCTTCATGGCCTGTTTGTTGCCTGACTAAAAATATCAATAGTTATCCGTGTTTGCAGAGTGATTAATTCTACATTTTTCCTGACTTCATTCTGCATTTTTCCATTCTTACACCTAGCTAGTATAGCCAAAATTCTCTTCTTCCCAAATGAAGATGAGAAATTAAGCCAGATTAAAAAAAAAAAACCAAACAAACAAACAAACAAAAAAAAACAGCAAAAACCACCAAGTACACGGGGTTGTGTTTTTACATGGCAAATTACAACATTCAACACCATTACGAAGAAACATTCATGATGCAGTATTTCAACATATATAAAGTTCTTAGATACATTTATTCATGCAACGAGAAAAACAGGCAAACGGTCAAGCCACTAGACCAAATGTCAGTTGAGATATCCATGAAATAGAATTTTACTTCAGGCTTCCATTTGGGTTTCTAAATGATTTGTTGGCAAAACATTGTTTATGTCTTGAGCCACAAGGTGTCTTGTGTGCAAAAACACCCTGGAGACTTCTTTTCGCTCTATGACTCTGAGTAGCATAATCTCTGATGTGCCTATAATCAGCAAGAGTTGTTTCCCATTAGCTCAGTGGAACATCATCTCTCACAAGGATTTGGACTTTAGTTTTAATTCCTTACACATTGCTCCCATGGACAACATCCTAGAAATCAAGAATTTACTAATGATCATGAATAGCTATTAAAATTTTAAACAAAACATATGTTATTATCACCTCTAACCAAATATCCTGCTTTTTATAGCAACAGAATTACAGATTGAATTCCCAAATAAATATTTCCACTCTGTTTCAGCTTTCTGGAGATTTTCTTTGCTAATAGTTCCTCTCTTCCCTCAGGAAAACTGATTTCTACTTTCTCCTAGATTTTTGAGCTTTTGTTCTCTTCCCTGTTTCTGAATGATTTCGTTTCTCCGAGGCAGCAGAGCTAGTCATCATAAATAGCAAAGAGGAGGGAAATATAGATCTGAATTTCAGAGTAATACAGAAAGCAGAGTTCATAATACAAAGCTCTTTGTCAAGAGTAATAGGGATCTCATTCTTTCAGGGCCTGACAATTTTTTTTTCTTTGCTGTCCCACTGCTGTTTCGTGTAAATCTGGTCTAAGAAAAACTAAGAGTATTGAAGAAGCTGGTGGCATTATGGTCTTACAATCAGTCTGCTGAATGAGTTTCAGGAGGGAGTGAGGGTGCAGAACAACTGGAACAACATATCCACACTAAAAAGGTGCATACATCTTAACAGTCTTCCCCTAGTGAATACATATGATACACATCGAAGTAAGGAAACTACCTTATTTTCCTAGGACTTATAACAAGCAAATTTTGAAAATAACTTGAAGTGACAGAACTAGTAAAACTTCACTAGATTCTCCTGCCACGTTGCTATATTTCAAATTAATCAACCAAATAGCATTTACCTAAAAGACAGATAGAAAACAATGGAAATGTCAACACTGGCAAAAATCTGTAAGGCAAAGAGATCTGATAGGTATAAAAAGTGCAGTAGCTGAGTAAGAATGGTACTAAAACTTCACTGGTCTCTCCAAGCTGGGGTGTACAGAGCAATCCATGATTTTTGCCTCCATCAAAAGCTGGAAAGGGTTTCTAGAACAGAAAAGCTACAGGCAGACTGCATTAATCTTGTAAGAAATCCAAGATTTAAGAGCAATTTCTAAGGAATTATTCCTCATCAGATCTTTGATTATGGATGTGTCAAAGCCTGTTGCTTAAGGAAAATTCAAAATTGTTTTTCTGTTTATTCACCCTTAATTTTAGATCCCGGTTTTCAACATGATTATTGCTGTTCACGAAATTTGTATATAGGCAGGGTTCAGAAAAGTGATTACACGAGACCTACAGCTGATGGGGCACTTCTACAAGAAATTACTGTTTAGCCTGAATTTCTGCATGCACAACCATCAAAGGGAAATTGATCTGTCAAAACATAATTCTCTTGTACTGCTAGAAATCTTTTCAAAGTGACATCTATAGAACACAATTTCTTTCCATTTTATATTTTTGATTTAAGAAAATAAATTCATTTCAGGGCATTTAAAAAAATGACCAAACAACAAAAAACCTAAATCACCAAACAACTGTGTTAAGAAGTCACAGAACCTGCTTTATAAAATTATTTGTTTAACTTTCAGAGAACATACTACAAGATGGATATTAATGTTGTAAAAGTGCAGCTCCACTGAAAGCAAATTCTTTACTGCCAGGCATCGTATTAGTACAGCTGTGGAGATGAACTATGACAAACAACAAAGCTGCTTAAAATATGATCTTGTAAACCAGCTCAGTGCTGGCACAGAATGTATTATTCAAGGCCTCCAGTAACAGCCTGTGCTCCATCTAGCTGAAAAGATTTCCATCCCACGTAACCTTTTTGGACTTAAGTAAGATACAGCTTGAAATCAGGCAAATTCCTTGCCAACCAGTTCTCCATGATTTATCCAAACATATTTTGATTTGAAGACATGCAGTAGACATTCTGAAGTAGACATTCAGAACACTTGTATGTTAAAACTCGCAGAGTTGACAACAGATATGTATGATGGGAGACATATCCAATAATTAACTACAGATTACCCAGGGGAGAAAAAAAGCTACATGAAAGAACAGTCCCAAGAGAAAAACAAAGCTGTTAAAATGTACATATTTACATTACATATAAAAAATCCAGTTCATATAAAACAAATATTGAATTTAGAGGAAGCACCTGGAAGTGAATAGTGACAGGAGGAAAAACATGGAATGGCAATTTCATCAGGGATAAATGTCAGAATTAGGATTAAATGCTGTTTTACCTAGAAATTGCAGATGGTCTGAACTGTGTACCGAAATGGCAGATTAACATGAATTTAGAAAAATATGACATAACAGATGTCAATGAGAAAAACAAAATGTAATTGTACACATAAAGAAAGATAATGAGTTAGTACCATGAATAATGCATTTTACCTACTACATCTTGGCAAACCATCATAGACAATCCATCTGCTTTACATACAATACTGATAAAAATTATAAACTAGTGGACAGATGGTACTAGGAGAGACAGTATTTCAACACCTGACAATACTGAACATGTCAGTATCTTGAAGAATGATTATCCTACCTGGAAAAAAATGACAACTGAAGAAAGCAAAAAGACCAAGTAAAGCATTCCTTTATAGGTCTAATACATGATATTAATTTTGCTAATAAATAGATTAGTATAAACAAATTAATTTCTCTCTTGAAAAAAACAACTACTGCAAGAATCAATCCATAAATGGTCATTATATACCATCTAATCTTCCCTTCCAAGACTAGGTATATTAATTCCCGAATTTAATCTGAAATTCCCGTAAGGGTCACTGCAAGCATCTGTTCAATTTTCCCTGGATTTCAGCAATTTCAGCTGGATACATACCTAAATAATTCTTCCATTGAGACCCTGTATTTTAGTGTGCTGCTTGTATGTCTCATGCTTTTTTCCCCTATATTTACAGCAGTTACGTTGCAGCAGCAATTTAAATTATTCTGATTTATGCAAGTTTTCTTTTCAATTCAGTAATAGGTGACAGACTTCTCCAAAGCTTATTAAAATAAGAATTCACAAATTGTTTGATCCAAGACATGCCAGAGAGCACATGTGTAAAGGAGTCAGCATTTCACTATAACAATTTTCCTGCCCCAGAATCTCCTGGAAATGCTTCTGTATCACAAAATTTAATGGTACAGGATTTGTATTCTTATACAACAATTTTGCTGTTGTATGACTAACATCCTCAGGAAAAACTGGTTTGCACTATTATCCCAGTTTTCATGTTACTTAATAGAATTGCTGAGCAATTTATTATGATAGCTAGAAAGTCTTTGAAGTCTACCAAAAAAAGACTGGGGCAGAGAAGTCATCTGTGAGGCTATGCTGTTGTTGCTGGAACAACACAGAAATCACACCTTCAGATTGCCAGCTTGTGAGAGCCTAGAAGCAGGTAGGAAAACTAGCTTAAAAGAGAAAGTGATATTGACATGTCATAAAACCAATCTGAAAAAACCCAATACAGTAAGAAAAATGTGTGAAGAAAGTTGATCACATAAAGTGAAGATGGGGTATGAAGACGGGAAGTGCTATGGAGGGTTTTGCAAAAAGGATGTGGATGTTTAGAAAACAGAGATGAGTTAAATATGGCATGAAATGAAAACATACTGGGCTTTTAAAATGTCAATACATTTCTATTCTGTACTCTCATACTACTGTACTTGGCTCCAGCAAAAATGAACTTGAGCAGTTTCACACCCAATACTTAACAATGGACACAGATCAAATGAAGACAAGGAGCATTAAAGAAAAAAAAAAAAAAAAAACCAAACAGAGGCCTTAAAAACAGGGAAGATTGAGAGGTGACTTTCCAATGCTGAGGTTATTTAGAAACAAGACTGACTTGCCTTGGGAGGTTATAGAACTTCATCTCTGAAGGTCTTCAGGCATGAATCACAAAAAAATGAGATGAGGTTTTAGAATAACCTGCATCCTTTCTGAAGGAAGTGGGCCAGACTAGATTAACACCATTATCCTAGTCTCAGATTCATGGGAAATAGAGAGGTCAGTATTCCAGTATCTTTTCTGCAGCAGTCCAAACAACATATACCCAATTACCTCAATGTGTTTGTCCATCATGAGAGATTGCAATATGGGCTGGAACAGATTTGGAGAGATTATTTCAATATTCTTAAACCTCAAGACACAATCAACTGTGCCTAAACATGAAAGATGTGACTGTAATTCAAGGTGATCCACCTGTGGCTTACAAGCTCCATAGGGGTGAATCTTATGACCAAAAATCAAGGTTGTCTTACAATGGAGGGTTAGAACCTGAAATGCCAGCTGTAGTGGATGAGTGTGAGGGATTGAGACCAAGACAGGTAGGGTGGACAGATCATCAAAGCCAAGTGCTCAGTCCAGCACAGTGAGATCTAAGAAAAAGTTGTTTTTATCAGCTGTGTGTGAACTGCTCCTGTAGCTTCTCCTCCCCTGGGCCTTCCGTGTACAAATTACGTGCTCATAGCTGCCTGTCTAGTGAAGTTTTTGATGAGAATCTTGTGGGGATCTTGTAAGCCTGTCATCCTTGGTGCAACCTGTCCTATAAAACCTCAGTGATGAATTCAAAATGATCAGCTGATTATCTTTAGTTCAATATAATTACATTTTTCTTTTATCTTCTCACTTGCAGAAGTCACTGCTCACTTCTAGAGCAGTCCCCAGTTACAGCAATCTTTCTGTTATGTTTCCTAAACCTCTGACTGTCTCATTACTAAAGAATGCTCTCCCACATCTAATACTTCTAAAATGATACAAAGACCAAATTTCTCAAAAACTATGACTAATTACTAATTGTAATTAGTTAAAATAGAAATTACCAAGTTCAGCAAAGAAATTACAGCAGGAGTTTCAAGTGTGTTCTGTCAATTTGACAGACTTTGTCACTGCTCAAGTACTGGCTCCCCAGGCATGTAATAGTCCTGTCAACAAAATCAAAAGGTACACCACAGGCACTACTCTGCTAATCTTTTTTAACAATTATATGTAGGATATTAGACATGATAACAGTGGTGCTGCAGCAGGAGAAACCTACACATGGACACTTAACACCACAGAATGTGTAAGGCTGGAAAGGACCACAGTGGTCATCTGCTTCAACCTCACTGCTCAAGCAGGGTCACCCTGGAGCACATGGCACAGGGTTGCATCCAAAGGTTCTTGAATATCTCCAATAAGAGACACTCCACAACCTCTCTGGGCAATTTGGTCCAGTGCTCACTCACCCACACCAGAATCACCATCATGACATAAAAATCAGTCCCTCCCCAGCAAATATGAAGTACGTATGTCATGTGACAAACTCAATTTTCCATATATCCATAAAGCTTTCTCCGTGAAAGGGAAATATTTGTTTCTTCTTAAATAAATTATGTATTAGAGCTCAAGACAGAGTAAGTTTTCTAATTGTTTTTTAATATGATCTACTTAAGCCTGTTTTCTGTGAATTTTGGAAGAATGTATTACACATTTGTTTCACAGAATCATAGAATAGTTTGGGTTGTAAAGAACCTTAATGATCATCTGGTTTCAATCCCCCCTGCCATGGGAAGGGACACCTTCCACTAGACCAGGCTGTTCAAAGCCCTGCCCAACATTGTAGTGGCCTTGAACATTTACAGGGAGGGGGCATCCACAACTTCTCTGAGTGACCTGTTCCAGTGTCTCACCAACCTCACAGTAAAGAATTTCTTCCTAATATCTGATCTAAACATACCCTCTTTCAGTTTAAAGCCATTCCCCCTTGTCCTGTCCATAAAGGCCCTTGTAAAAAGTATCTCTCCAGCTTTCATTCCTCACAGAGTTGGGGGTGGCTTGAAGGTGGGAGGGCATTACTACATAATGCAGCTGGTTTGATTCTAACCTCTGCAAAAGAAGTATATGGTGTAATATGTCAAGCAGTAACATAATTAAAGAATAACAGTGATTTACAGACACATACAAAAGTTCTTTGAGCTTACATACACTGCTCCATTCAGGAGAAATACTTTTGTAGAGCCCTCTGTGAGCATCAAAAACAAAACCCAGTTACCACTGAAGACAACTTCTTTTTCTGCAGACTTAGGTGATAAGTAACAGGACAGAAGTATATTGGAATTGAATTAAAAACACAGGAGAAGAAACAAGTATTTCCCTTTATTAAGATATACCTGTTTATCTTACAAGCTATTAATATGTACATGGACGTTATAGATTAAATATTAATAATAAGCAAATAATCATGAAGTAATTTATATTGTTGCAACTTGTTTGGAAGATTATAAATTTGAACCAGTGGAGGATTGACTTCCAAGAATTTCAGGTTGTTTTAAAATCAATTAGCAGCAAAATAACACACTTATAAAGTGATCATGAGAAACAGAAATAATATATCTTCTTAATATATATCTTATGTTATTCTTACTCCTTGGCCAGCTGTACATTGGTCGGTTTTGCTCCAATAGGTATCCCATATTTGTGCAAAGTGTTGTATAAAATTTCACGCATTTCACTGTTGTATGAGTCAAAGTCAAATACATTTCGAACAACATTTGCGAGTCCTTCAGATGGAAATTTCTGTAAAGACACAGACCACCAAATTTCTTTTAGTGACTATCTATTAAGTTACAGCACATCATTACGTACTTCTAAAATGAACAATTGTAACAGTAACTTTGATTGACAGATGAGTTCTGAAGTAATCTTTACTTTTCATTTTCAGGACATCATTTCAAATCAGAATGAAATTACTGACACTAAACTTGATTTAAACAAAAAAAAGCATGTGACAATTATTTAACACTAAACACCATTAATGGTTTAAAGAATTAATTTCATTATACACAAGATGGTGTAATCATTGGAGAATATAATTAATACTAGCTTGTATTCTTAAAATTTGCTTTTTGTAAACCATGAAGATCTGATAAAAAGACACACATTCATATAATTCACACAAACAATTAATTAAAGAATTCTGACTTTGTTTAATATAGAGAAGCAGATAACACACTGCTTGGTTAATAAAAACTATTTTAGGTCATGATGGATTTTAGTAGACAGAGAAATTAACTTAAGATTCACAAATTTATTTTTTTTTTCTTAGAGAAAAATACTAGTTGAAATGTGCTATGTACATTTAAAAGCCCCAAATATTTATCAGACTTTCATTAGTATCTTTAGCAGAAATTAAAGTTTTGTTACTGTGCTGGATTGATTATTCTGAATGAGGAATTAAATGGTTGGATGGTTGCATCTAGAGAGTAGTGGTCAATGGCTCAAGGTCCCAATGGAGAAGTGTGACAAATGTCAGTACAGACCTTGGGGGCCTGTACTGGGACCAGGACTGTTTATTATTTACAATGAACAGCAGGATTGAGTGCACTCCCAGAAAACTTCCAGATGACACCAAGCTGACTGATACATGCTTGTGGGATGGAATGCTGTCTGGAGGGACCTAGACAGGTGGAGAAGTGGGGCCACAGGAGTTTCATGAGGTTCAACAAGGCTGTGTGCCTTGAATCAGCACAGGCTAGAGGATGAACAGATTGAGAGCAGCTCTGACAAGGACTTGGGAGTGCTGGAAGGTGAGAAATTGGACATGGCAATTGGACATGCCAGGCACACACCAGGCAAGGTGCACTTGCAGCCCAGAAAGCCAAATGTGTCTTGGGCTGCACTGAAAGCAGTGCGGGTGAGGGAGGGGATTCTGCCCCTCTGCTCTGCTCTACTGAGAGCCCACCTGCAGTGCTACAGCCAGCTCTGGGGTTCTCAACATAAGAAAGAACCTGCTGGACTGAGTCCATAGGAGGGCCTCAAAGATGATCAGAGGGCTGGAGCACCTCTCCTGTGAAGACAGGCTGAGCGAAAACTCTAAGGGGACCTTTTAACACCTTCCAGTATCTAAAAGGGGTTATAAGAGAGATGGAGAGGGACTGGAAGGGCATGTAGTAATAGGACAAGGGGGAATTGCTTTAAACAGAAAAAGGGCAGATTTAGATCTGGTATTAGGAAGAAATTCATTACTATGAGGGTCATGAGTCACTGGCATAGCTGTCCAGAGAAGTTGTAGATGCCCCATTCCTGAAGTGCTCAAGGACACATTAGATGGGGCTTTGAGCAAGCTGGTCTAGTGGAAGGTGTCCCTTCCCACAGCAGCAGGGAACTAGAATATGTTTTAAGTGCTTTCCAGCCAAAACTATTCTAGGATTCTGTAAGAGAAATGAAGAATTTTTAATATCAGAAAACCACTCAGAGAAACTGATGTCATTGATTAAGAAAGCCACTGAGGTGGAGGACCTAAAGCTGGAGTAGGTATACGCCAAAAGGAGGCTGTGACCTCTGGCTGTGAGAAGCCCACACTGAAGCAGGCTCCTGGCAGGACTTGTGGCCCTGTGGGGAGAAGAGCCCATGCTGGAGCAGGTTTGCTGGCAGAATTTGTGACCCTGTGGAAGGGCCCCAGGCTGGAGCCGTTCCTGCAGAACTGCAGCCAGTGGGAAGGACTCACAATAGAGAAGCTCATGGAGGACTGTTTCCTATGGGAGGGCCCCCGCACTGGAGCAGGGGAAGTCAGTGAGGAGCCCTCCCCCTGAGGAGAAAGTGGTGGCAGAGACAACATGTGAAGAACTGATCAGAGCCCCCTTTCCCCATCCTCTTGTGCTGCTGAAGGGGAGGAGGTAGAGAAAAGCAGGAGTGAAGTTGAGCTTGGGAATAAGGAAGGAGTAGGGGAAGGTGTTTTAAGATCTGTGTTTATTTCTCATCTTCCTACTCTGATTTGATTTGCTATAAATTAAACTAATTTCTTCAAGTCAAGTCTATTTTGCCCATGCCAGTAATTGGTGAGTGATCTCTCCCCGACTTTATCTTATTCTACAGGCATTTCATTATATTTTCTCTTCCCAGCTGAGGAGGTGAGTGACAGAATAGATTTGGTGGGCACCGGCATCCAGCCAGGGTTAGCCCACCACAGATGTAAACAGAGCAAACCAAATAAAAAGAATTTAAAATAATAATTATCAACTTGCTCTATATCCTGGAACTTTACCACCTAACTTGCCTAAACGATTTATTTTATCCTTTTTTTTTGGCAAGAGATTGGAGTGAGAATTTTTCTATTTAAAAATGTCTCACTTTTTCTCCACAGGCCTTTCATTCAAATACTAGATTTTTCAGACAAGGACCTAGACACTTCCATCTCAGTATGGCACATTTGCAGTGATGAAAATAAACTCGTGGAGAGATATTTTAAGAAGTTGTAGTCTTAATTGTTTTTTTTCCCCATTAGTGAGCTAGGCTGGTACAGAGAACTTGAAAAATAGACTTAAGTGTCAGAGAAGTTTATAAATGTATTAAAAATACAGATATTTGAATCCTGATTAAAAATTAAAACAGAAATAAACAGAAGAATTTCAGAAATGCTTTGACCTATACTCTTAATCAAATATCAGCATTAGGAGTTTAATATTTTCCTGACTTTATAAATATCTGATCTTGGTAATAAAATACCTGTGACACAAGCAATACTAAAATTAGGTAGTCACTGTGATAGACTAGAAAACCACTGCTAAATTAAGCTTGTACAAACCTTTTTTTATCTGTGGTGTACAAGGCACAGAATATTTTAATACTAGTGTTGCTATAAAAGCATATTAAACTATGTTCTGCTTTTTAAATCTGAGGGACCTATTAGAAGTGCTGCATCATTACAGCTTAGAAAAACACAAGTTATTGTGGATAATATAAAATTGTTCTACAGCCTGTGCCATCCTTGTTACAACACCTAGTTCTAACAAAGTAACAAGTACAATGAAACAGGTACTAAACCCATTCTCCCATCATCTATTCTAACTAAACACTAAATGTATAATATAATTCACTAAATGTGAATTGAAAAAGTTCATGACAATGTTTAGTAGTGAAAGTGCTAACTTCTACACTTTTAATTCCACCAGTAAAAAGTAGAGAATCATGTTGAAACAACATTTATATGATGAATACTGTGTTTTCTCTGTTCTTCTCAGTGAAAGCACAACCAACACACTGGTACCAAGGTATCTAATTCACTCATGAACCTCCCTGCACCAGGTACTGCAGAAACCTTGGTCAAATACTTCAGATAATATCCAGTTTTCCCTAGAAGTCTCCAAGTATGTCTGCAGTTTTCTGAATCACTGCATAAATTCTGTCATCAATACACTTTTCTGCAATGAATTGCCTCAACAGTTCCATGCCCCTTGTGTCAGCAGGACATCATAAAAAATTTCCTGAGGTACAACAGATGGCTTCTGGGAACACAAGCTACTTGTACAAAGGTCCTCTACTTCAGTAATTTTAAAAAATCACAACTCTCCTGTTTCAACCAGAACAAATCCAATACCTCTTTAATAACTGCTTGGACAACTGCTTCCTGAAGAAAGGAAATGACAGTTCACTTAAAAGCAAAAAAAAAGAAAAAGACAAGAAAAAAAAGATGTTGACTGTTTGGGACTTGAACTGAACATTAAAAAAAAAATCATTTGGTTTCCACTGATTTTTAAAATGAGATTACTAGAGAAAATATTGATCTCTTATCAGTCTTTCTGGCTGTCATTCACTGATTCTTCCCCTTAAAACTAACACTACTGTATGTACCTTAGATTATTTTCACAGCTTAGATTCTTGGCTATTCCTTAAAATACTATGTAACATAGTTTTTTGCTTTCAACAATTGTATATTTTTATTTATAGATTGTATGCTTTATTTGATAGAGAATTTGACCTGGTGAAAAAGCTGTATTTTTTTTCTCTTACATTCCATGAGGATATGTATTGCTACAGTCTATGAGCAAAATTGTATAATTTCCAGTAGAAATCAAGAATCTTAATTCAAATATGCTATACCCATTGAGGTCTACTGCACTTCTACCACTGCCCTGAAAAGAAAACGATAAATTATCTGGTATTCAGTCTGTAATGAGTCCAGACTTTTTGTTTAGACTTCTACCTTGTGTTCTCACTAATGCTTATTTCCCTATGTATCTTGGTGCCTTCAGATAACTGATTGTGGCACAGATACCTGTGCTCTTGGTTTCCCCTTACATCCACCCCTATGCCCTTTTACTGAATGTTGCCAGCTCTCTCTGTGCCTCCTCAGTTGTCCTTCAGCAGGGCCAGAAGCACCATGTCTATGGCTCATCCTGAGTGACAGACATAGTAATGGATTAACCAGTACTCGGGTCTTTAGTGGGCATCATCTACTGCCAAATGAAACAGCTGAATTCTTCCCCTGCAATTTCAATCAGCTCTTCTCTGTCACATAGCCACTGATTTTGATTAAACTAGCAGAAAACCTAATTATCTTTGAAAATTGATAACTGAGATCCATTGTGACTGGCCAAAAGGGCAAAAGGTTACTAGGCAGCAAAGTGAGAAGGGGATATAAACTGTTATTTGATAAGCCTAGTTTCCTTTTGAGATTAGGCTGAACATTGAAAAAAAAAGGCACTATCTTACCACAAAAGTTTATTGAATAGGCCTTAAAACTTGATGACAAGTAAACTTCGGGGCCAGAAGTTTTCTTAGGCATTTACTGCTCGAAAACTGTTGTACTAGTGCTTAGTATTAGGAAGCAATCTCAGACATAAACAAGAAAGATGACCGAGAGGAAAAAAATCTCAGCTTTCTGAAACTAAAGAAGAGTTGGTAAAAAAGCTATTGTCAATTTATTTAGACTAATGTGGCTTTCCTGATTAACACCTACCAAGGTCTCATGAAAAACAGCATATTAGATTGCAGAGAAGCAGTCACAGCATACCCTGGTTATAGGCACTTTATGGTAACCCAACAGAGCAAGGGCAGAGCTTCTGAGCTTACCCATAAGCTACTATTAACATAAAGACTTTTGACATTTGACAGTCTGAAAACTAGAGGCGAGCAAGACAAAAAGGCTGTATCCAGGTCACCTGCCAACTAGAGCCGCAGGACCCAAATTCCTGATACAGAATGTGAGGAGAAAAAGTTGCAGCAATCAAGTTAGGTACCTGCATTAGACAACACTCCCTCCCTATGCCTGTAGTTTTGGGCCTTCAAAATAATTTGGTGTCTCAAGCATCACCAAAAACACCTTTCCCTAAGAAAAAGTTAGTATAGAGGCAACCTAGCTCTGAACAGAACGTCTAAACTACAACTAAATTACCACATGTTCCCTACTTGCATAATCTTTAGGGGAGGATAATCTTGTAGCTGCACTCCTTATGTGTATGCTAAATGCTGAAGATCACAATTGGTCACAGTCAGAGATTAGCCTAACAATATGCTGATACCATAACAATCAGTATATTTTTAACTGACTAGCCCTGATGCTCAGATGTGCTCTCAGACAACAGTAATCAAAAGCAATTTTGATTCCAAAACATCCAACTTTTTTTACACAAGCAAAAATTCCAAAATTATGTGAAAGAAATCAACACAATAGTACAAAGAGAGCAGGGCTGTGGAACTGCTGTAAGGGAAATTGTTTAACAACATGACTAACTTCCCTCCTTCCTTCCTAAGGACCAGCAATTTTATTGACTCATTTCCCTCCTTCCTCTTTCTTCTCTACCTGAAGACCTAAAAGTTTCTTGCTTTGGAATAACCATTATGTTTATATTCATTGTTTACATTTGGCTACTCTCAGTTTTTTTATTATTCAGATTGAAAACCAAGTTACAGTAAACAAAATGTTGCATTCTTGCGATGAGACTGGGATCTTGAAAATGTTACAAAACAAGTCAAAGATGCATGTTGGAGATGTATTTGGATATTTACACTTTGAAAGAGGTGAAAGCTTAGCAGACGGGAAACTTCCCCAATGTCCAGGTTCAAGTCACTGTACTAATCTGCTTAAGTGAAGGAGACAGAAGCAGACAGCAAGAGCCCTTAAGACAATTAGCAATGCAGCTCTTTCAATCTCCAATTAGATGCTGTTCACACTCAAATAAAACAACAATTAAGTCTTATGTTTTTGCACCAATCACCAACAGAAATCAGTACAACTTCAGGTTACTTGGAGATAGATAATGAAGGAAAGAAGCTAGGAAGAAAGGTAGGAAGAGCAGAAAGGTATGAAGACAAAAAGGAGTTAATTTAACGAACACCTTAAAAAATTAGCTTCTCAGCAGCACAACAAATATTCTCAAGTCTGTAATTTTTCCACTGTCATTTTGAATATAACTGTGTTTAGAGATCAGCATGTACATGTTCTATCAGGTTGTAAACAAATACCTATCAGCTGGTAATGGATCCTAAGAGACTGCTTTGCTTATGTGTTTATTTGGATTCCTCAGCCTTTAGGTCTGAATCTTCCTAACCCTCAGCACAAAGTTAAAGAGCATTATTTTTTCTTTCTATTATTGATAACATAGTAGCATCAGTTTGTCTTGAGATCTTCTTGCACTCTAGAGACCACAGAACACAAAAATCTATCCTCCCCAGAAATGTACATGAAGATTTTTAAAAGTAGTAATTCCACCCCGCAGGATCTGAATGTCTGTGTATATGGCTGAATGTGTGTGAATATGTACATGACCACAAACACAAAACTATCATGCAATCTTGTTATACTACGCAGCACAAAACACAGGAGCAGTAGGTCCAAATTTGTGAGAAATTGTATTCTAATTGTATTAATTACATTAATTTCCACTATTTAAAAAATATCTAGGATTCAATAATTGAAGAAATGGCCTATAAATTAACAAACTACCAATTTTAGAACTATAAACAGAACAAAATAAAAGCACTGCTATTTCAAAGAGCATTAAGACACTTTATATTTCAAATACTTCAGGCAAAAAAAATCCTTCAATTTATTAAGTCAGAAGTCAGACTTTACTATTATATTTAAAAACCAGGTCATCATTAAATCAGAATTCAGCATTTTGCAGTTAAATGTGTGTAGAAAGTAATCATGAATCCTACATATTCCCTTGGTGAGTTGCTACCCATCTAGCATTTTCCTTAGAAAAAATCCACTACAGATGTACTATTGTTATGCAGCAGGAATTTGTTTTTTTTTCACAGGAAAGGATTAAACCCACAAATTTCATAGCAAATAAAAATGAACAGTTGTACTGTCCTGGAAGTATTGTATGTTGAATGTGGTGTTTTATAATGAGGTCCAGTATGAACATTACACACAGTATTCACACTATGCAATTTTTTCTCACACAGCAGAAAAATAGATTTATAGAGTTTTTTTTCTATCGATAAATAAATATGCAGAAAAAATATTTGCCCATGTACATCTGTGATCCTTACCCTCCAACTATCTGAGCATCTTTAATATTATGCTCCTTTAAAAATGTAAAGTGATTCACAAGAATTAAATAAAAACGCATGAACAATAATGGTATCTTCTTTCTGAAACCTTCAGGCATTAAAACATTAGTATTGATGAACTCAAGTTTTCAATTAAATCTGATGTACTGTACCTGTAAATGTTTTACAATGTTCACAACTTCTCTAGTTGAATAGGGGTAGTTAATAATTCCTTGGTCAGCTAAGCTCCTGAGCTCTCCAAAAGCAGCTACCAGTTTCTGCAGAATGGCCTCTGGAACATCAGGACCATATTGTTTAAGCATTGCCAGTTCTGACTGTGGTTTGGGATTATCAACAGCATGGCAACTAAAAATGTCCCCTACAAAGAAAAAAGAAAAAGCACAAAGTTAGATAATTTATAAAGAAGTAGCATCACAACAGCCCCTTTAAGTTTAATACTGGACCTTTAATAGAAAAGATAAGACTCAAAAGAATGCTGAGTACCAATTTGCTAAAACTGTAAAAAAGGTGAAGTACAAGCTATGAAGAACATTGAGGTTTCTGGAAACACAGAGATCTCTCCTGCTGTTTTAATGAAGTTGGTATCATGAGGGAGAAATTAACTTCAAGAAGAAACACAAGTCAAATGAATGCAGGAAAATATAAGAGAAAAAAGATTTTAAGAAAACAGAACTGGTTGAATGGAACCAATTTTTTAACTCCTTCAAACACCACAGAATGCAGGGAAATTTTGAAATGCAGGAAGGCCCTAATGCAAACCCAATTAAGAGGTCTAGAGGAAATACTGAATTTATCTTATCTTTTCTCCCTGCCTGTCTTGAAATATGGTAAGAAAATTGGCAAGACATTATTTCCATACATTAGCATTATATTGATACCAAACAATCTATAAATTGAGTTTATTCATAAAAAATCTCTGAACAGTTGTACAAAACTTTGAAGAAGCATGATCAGATCCTGCAGGAAAAGGACGAATTAAAAGCAGAAGAGACCCTAAGTTGGAAAAATAATATTAATAAAGAACCCCAAAGACCCCAACCACACCTCTGCCATGCGGATCAAGAGCAGTAACACTGGGATGATTGGTCTTGTTTAAAGGGTCCATGTAAGGAAGGAAACTAGGCTATGAAAAATAAACACAACAATAAATTCTCTTGGGGCAGCACAGCTTGATGTAATTCAGAGTCAATGAGTTTCAGACAGAGAATGTCCATTCAGTGGGAACCTCACCTGAGAAACAAAGAACTACTAGGTAATATGGAATTCAGTTTGCAACTGCTTTTTTGAGTAGGTTTTGAGTATGTTATTTCTTGCAGAATTCAGCATTATGGCCAAAATTAACAGGCAAAACATAAATTAAAGTTCCTGCATATATCAGGCCAAGTTAACATAGATAATACAGTCAGTGGAGTCTGGAGAGTATTCAGTTCACAGCCATCATGTAGCAACAATGCCAAAACCTTGCCAGAGGCCCATTTAGACTAACAATGGGCTATACAGGCCAATGAATTCTTCACCACTTGCCCCTGTGCAACTTAATTTCTTTTTTTTGCTGTAGGATGAAGCCCTAGGGAATCTTTGCTGACACACAGAATTTCTGGGACCTACCAAGGGCTTTCTAAAATAAGGTTTCTGTTGATATGAAAATCATTGATGTGAAATTTGGACAGCTTTACATTATACTGAGATAAATTCAGTATCTTGTCAAACATGCATATTTTACTAAGGCCATATGCATGGAGAAGCAAATAAAGAATAAGAAGCAGGTAGCACAGTGCTAGCAGCCAAAAATACAGTAGCCTTTACTACTGAAAGCAAAGAAAAGAACCATCCATCAAGCTACCATCTGTTGCACCAAACAGGACAGTATTTGAGCTGTGGCTTGTTTGATATGGGAAAAAAAAAAATACTGAGCAGTTGAGAGAGCTGTCAGGTGTCAAGTATACAGTTAATTTGTTTGCAGTATTTGTATACTCTACACACTCATTAACAAAGATTTCCATAATCTTGTGTCTGCAATGTCCATCCAGATTCCATAAAACAAAATAGTTTTAACACAGATGATCACATACAGCTTTTCCATTCAGGGCAAGTTTGGGCATTTTTATTAAGATACATAAATTTACATTACAGTCTTAATGTCTTATGTGAAACAAAGTGTCAATATGCATAAGCTCCTTCTTCTCATGAAATCTAATTAATAAAGACAGATATTCTATTAGTCAAGTCTATTAAAGATCACAAATTAATATGAATCACTTACCTAATGTGCCAAAAAAGTCATTACCCAAGAAAGGAAATCCAGGTCTATTTGCCAGAACTATCATTCTAAAATCAGGATGAATAACTATGACGTTTTCTCTCCCCTCTACATGAGCATGATCTGGAAAAGAAATAAAATTTATTACTTGCATATCTAAGCTTTGCAATACTGAATGAATGAACATAATTAGATTAGGTGAAGAATTCTTAGAAGAAAAATTCTTCTAATATAATTACATTCTTCTTAGAATTAGAAGAACAGTTACAAAAAAAAGGGCTCAATAGCTTCTTACACGTCATTCAACTGAGTTTTCTAGCATTCATTTTAAAGTTTCATAGTTTGTTTCACAAAAATGTAACCAAAGTGTTTAACTGAAAAAACATAACAATGCATCCACTGTTCTTAGGGTGCAGACTACCTGTTTCCTTTAGATTTAATTTCACTGAAATGGTGAAGCCAATGGTGAATAAAATGTCATTTTATTAGGTCTGACATTATTTGATCTGGGAAGACAGGACCAAAATTCCTCTTGGTTACTTCAAAATTTGTGAGAAGACAGAGATGCATTATTTAACTTATGTGAAGACTCTGGTTCTCCAAAACTACTCAGACTGGCCTCATTCAGAACCTTGTTCCCTTTCAGCATGATTCCAGTGGCACATGGTGTTTGGAAATCCTTTAACTGCCTCTAAAAAATCTACAGTAATAATTAGGACTGGCTAGCAAAATATTTTAGAATAAGCCAACCTAGAGCTTATAATGACAAGCAAAACTCAGGCGTGCCATGTGGATATTGAATGATTGCTACATTCAAACATTATTTCCAATATTGTTAAAATAAAACTTATTATATAAAGTATGGTGTCTAGTAGCATCAAGAGATACCTTCAAACATAGTCTTTTTTTGAAAAATAATGAAAAATATTTATTTCCTGGAACTCTAATGAATTAAATTCCATCAAATTTCAGATAGCCTCATCCTGCAGGATATATTTAAATAATGAAGTAAGCATATACTCAAGTAAGCACATGCAATACTTGATTAGATAAAACTCTTAACTCTTTGACCCAAGATATACTCATCTTCATTCCAGACCTGATCCAATGATACCTCAACTGTCTAGATGGGCATAACCAAGATCATAATTTTCTCAACCAGATCTTTATTTCTTATGGTGAATGAGAGGCAGAGGGGTCAAGTTACACTTTCTGGGTTTAGAGTTTTTTTTAATTTTAATTAATTAAAAAAATTTTAATTTTTTTTAATTCAGCAAAAATCACAAGAATGCTAATTTAAAGAAACCTTAGTGGCTACTGCCAAAGTACTAGAGAAAATGACTGTAAATTCTTTAATTGTAAACTTCTTAGCAACAAACAATTTATTCATTTGGACTGGTCTGTGTTGCTACTGAGCAACTGAAAAGCAGCAACATGCTACATTTCACTGTAAATAATGAAAACGCTTTCGCTCTACTTACTGGCAACAATTCGCCTTCCATCTGACAAAACCATTTCCCCACTTTCTACTAAAGTTTTTAAGATACAGGTAACATTTGTTGGTGCTTTGTCCGCCTCATCAATTACCAAAATATGTCCAAACTTCACTGCTTTTACCTACAAGAGAAAGGAATCATAAGATCACTCCTGGCCAAAACCCTGCAAGCAGCTGAATTACCGATTTCTCAGTGAGCAGCAGTGACACCTCAGTGTCACTGAGACAAGAAAGGGACTCAGAACAGGGATAAGCTGTGACCAAACCACAACAGAAGGAAGAGAAGGCAGGTGAGACAAGAGAGTTGGGTGTTTCCATTTTTCCTGGATAGGGATGGAAAGGGAGGGAAGTGAGGAGCTTGACTGAATGATTTGGAGAGCAGAGATGTGCAAAGCCAGTTTGCATCTAGACTTTCAACATGTAGCTGAAAGAACTGAAGAATGGCTGCAACATTCAGTTTGGAGCCCAACTTAGCACATAGGTGTGTGGTGCTACAAAGGAGAAGTAGGCAGTTAGAATGTGTCAGGTTAATATTAAATTATTTTCCATACTCATTTTGTATGTGGGGACTCCCAAGATCATCATCTTATTCACATTTGTCACAGCAAATGTAACAAATGTGACCAAATAAAAATTAATAAAATGTTTGTTACTATACTCACTCACTGTGCCATGAAAAATCAAATCACCAATAGTTTAAATCAAAACCATTTCCAAAAATCCAAATGCTACTACTGACCAGTGGTGAATCTTCATATATAATAAGACCATCCTTTACAGAAGGCTGTAGGGTAAGGCTTTGTACAGTGGTATCCCTGAAATGTGGAAAACCAGATCGCATTAATTAAAAATACACAGGAATGTTAGTTACAATAAAATGCAAAATTAATAAATGAAAAACTGAATACTCTCTTTCTAAGAGGAAAAAATGTTTTTTAGAATACTTGAATAACTGGGAACAACAGTGTGGCCACTTAGTAGTCAAATGTGAATATCCCTGACTCTGCCAGGACTTTCACAGTAGTTCTCCATTTCTCATAAACCCTGAAAACAAAACCCCTGAGAAAAGAATCAGTATTTTTTGTATGCAGGCACATTATTGATGTTACTATCTCTAGTTAAGTATGCTGAAACTGTCATTTATGTGACAAACAGGAATTGTTACTGTGTTATTGTGTGTTCTTCTCCACATATTATCTTGCAAAAAAAAATCTACAAACAAAGAAATCCAACAACTTATCATATGGAATACTTACAATCAATTATTTTTAGTTCTAAGCCCTACTGGCTTGCTACATTTAATATCATTAACAGTATAAGCTCTTAGACGGGGCAGAGGCTTCAGTAGTAGAGTCTTTCTGAAATTTTGTCTTTGAATTGTTCAATTACCTTTTCTTCAAACTTAAAATAGAGCTAATTAAAATCTGTAATGACAATATTCCTTAATCGTCACTATTTAATCTATTTTAACCACCACTGAATGTACAGATAAAAAAAAAACAAACAGTTGCAACTCAGAAAGGTGAAGCAACAGACAACACCACAATGGATTCACCTAGATAAAATATGTCCATAACCTAGGGAAAGCCCCTCCTGATTCTATAAAATACTTACCCAGACCTTCACCATGATCTGTATAACCAACCCCATTTACTTTGGGGTTCAGATGGGCCAATGAGCTGGAGAATAATCCAGACCTGGGTCATGACAGAAGGCCCCCATGACTCCCATGCTTTCATGGGCAACAAGAAATTCAATCTTAGGGCAAATTGGTTTTGCCATCCCTTTCCTCCTGTATTTCAAAATTTGGATTAGTTTGTGTCAAAAGAAGATGGGTTGATTACAGGACAAAACCATCAGGAAAACCTCTCTTAACACTGGTTGAGATCCACATACTGATCCACTGGTAAGGTTGGTAACCTTTGCACTGTATGTAACACTTGACACAACAAAAATCTCTTACCTTTTACAGCTGTGCTGTGTAACAAAACTGTTTGCTTAAGCCTAGCTGACTCACTCTTTCAAACATCCACTTACTTCTATCTTTAATTTTGCAACACCTTGTAAAAACCAACAATTCTGATAAGCTCCATGGGTACAGGAAATCAAACAGTACTGTTAGCAGCACACTATTAAGTGGTCAGCTTCCAAATACAGTTTTAAACTGAGAGGATAACTTGCACACTTCCTTTATTTGAAACTGCTGTCAGCAGGATTTCTGTCCCTTATCACTAATAATTTCTTGTTTAGTTTTAAGCCACAATTGATTTATCCCACAGTTTCCATGCACAGAAATAAAGCAGAGGGCAGAGAGACTTCACATGTTTAGCTGCTTGATCTGAACTTTAATCCAGAAAGGTAAAGGTTACAAAGATGGGACCACATTCAATTCAATTAACCCTGTCACAAGTAGGCAACCGTGCACCAAATAGTTATATTAACTTTTTATTCACTTGCAACATATAATTTTTTTAAATCACTAAAATAAGCAGTAGCACTAATCTATCATCTTAGAAATCCTACTGTGGACACAAAAACAAAGTTTCTACTGTCATCTTGTGTGTCTAAGCAGTCTATACACTGGACAGGGAAATCAATAATAGATCCAAAAATAACAACAAACCAATGATTTTTGTTTCTTGAACAGACATTATTTAGGGACTAAATTCTCAGAATGTATGTATCAGCCTACCTCCACTATCAGTTAACATTTCTGGTTCAAGCCTATACAGTTGCAGATGCAGAAGAATTTTAAAATGCGCACACCAAATGCTAGAGTCACAGTCACAGGTACTAATTAGTCAGAAATAACTCAAGGAAAAACGTTCTGAGGAATTATTACAAGGTAAAAAGGGGAAGAATTTGTCAAATTATAACTGTGATCTCTTTAAAGTAATAGAAAGGTGAGAAAATGAGAGAACCCAAGGATAGCATAGACCAAGAATAATGTAAAGGACGGTGAATTACAGGATGCTTTACAGATCATAAACTTGCACTTAGGAGATAATGAATGAAAAACAATAAAGTGAACAAAACACATCAGGAAATGAAGATCTCTAGTGATGTGTGGTGGACACAAGAAAAGACAAAAATATCAAATGATGTTTTACTGTAACATGAAACAGTATTTTACTTTTGCTGAGCGAGTTAATCCTCTGGCTCTGCAGAGATTACTTACAACCCCCTAATGTGGAATACCAAATTGTGCTTAGTATTCCATAATGATCAGCAGCCCACACAAATCCTTAGGATGATCTCATTCTTCAGAGAAGACAGAATTGACATATTCTTTGGGAAAATAAACACTACAAGAGTTTACTATTCATTTAAGTGTTATTACAAAAGTAGCATAATCAGAAAAAATACAGAAGGTATCAAACTAAAATAAAAATTGACATCCTGAATCTATCTTCTAATTTTTTTCTTATTTTATCTTTCTTCTGCTTTGTTGACAGTCGGCCTTAGTATCTAAGGAAATACATTGGGGGATTTGCAATGTATTAAAGAAGTTAAATGTAAGTCAAATATTAATTCAATTGGCTTGATAATTTAAGTGTATGTGAAACTCCTGTATTTTCTTAGGCTATTACATTCAGACATGTATGAATGATTTTACAAGGGTTATGACAGATCAATATTATTTTCCTTTCAGAATCATATGCTATACACTTACATATCATTAATTTCTGTTCTTCAGAAACCTACCATGACCCAAACACCATAAAGAATGGCTAAAAATAAACTGTCCCCTTAGAGTTTTTCCTTAAATTCCTACTTTGCAATGAATTACATAAATGTAAAGGCACTGAAATATAGAAAAATAAAAACACACTAAGTCTGAAATAGTTTTGAACAACATAGATAGCAGCATTTCCTAAATGCAAAATATGTCTGGTACTCAAAATTCCCACAGTAAAGGAACTAAAACCTCCAATTCACTTTCACTTAGTAATAACAGCACCTTAATAATAACAACTAACAGGCTCTAGCAAAGACACGAATACCAAAACCTCCCAATTTCATCACATTCAGCAATGAAAATAGGTCTGACACAAAGAAGCAGGAATGTAGGAATGTAGAGTAAGAAAAACTATCTGACATACTGTCATCTTACTGAACTGAACTGATTTTGTCTTCACCTGACTGTAAAAGAAAAATACGAAAAGCTCACTAATGTCTTTCCTAAGAATGTACTTTTACTTTTATCAAGGAAGCCATTCTCAAAAGTGCTCCATTTAAAAAGAAAAAAGAGAAAAGAAAGAGAAGACATATTTACTACTGAAATATAGCAACTCCTCTGACAGGACCACTCAATTCATAGTAAGACTTCTGAGAATTCTTCTCATGTTTTTTATTAGCTCATATCGCTGTCTTTTTTTTTTATTTTTTGCTACTGCTGCATTATTTACCCTAAAGACAGCTATTTCTGAGGTCTGCAGACTGACTTGAAGATACTGCTGTGACAGTTTCTGTTTCACTGACAGCCATGCCTTCCTTCTGGAGAACAACTACGAACTGTGTCAGGAGAAATTTCCATCAATCTCAGAGAGTTGTTATCCTCTAGTTTAAGAAAAGGCGTTCCAATGCTGTAATTTAAGATTTGAGTCCCCAGGAAGGCTTATGCCCTAAAACAGGACACAGTGTCAGGGCCCCAGCTAACATCACAAACACTCACATTCCCTGGAACGACTCCATCTTGACAAGTGCAGAAGAATACAGTCCTGGCTTCTGTATGTACTTACACTGAGGCTAAAAGGGTAAGAGATTATTTGTGCAAGGCAACCTTGTGTTCTAGGGGTCCCTGCTCATGGTAACAAGGTGACATAAACCAAGCTCAGGTTTGGCCTTCTTCTGATTCACCGCACAAAACCTTATGATAGTTGAAAGGAAAAATCAGAGATGTAACAGTGTATACTCTAGAAATTCTTCTTCATTTCTGTGAGGCATCTCTTATCTAAATACCCATGCACATAGATAGGTATTTATTCTCAATTACATGTCAATCAGACATGAATATACCCATCTGCTGTGACCTAATTTGAAAGAGTATTTGAAAAATAATTAGTCCAAAGCCATTTGAAGCTGTTAATTGGTCAGTTAATCCACTCATGGATTATCCTGATGAAGAGCAGGCAATCCCAACACAAAGAATCAATCTGCACGATTTTGACATTTAGAAATTAATTTCTTTAGTCAACCCATCATAGAGCCATTGCATTTCATGATCTGACTGCTATGTTTAGGTAATTCTGAAATATCTGAAAAGCCAACCAGATGTCTCATTGCTCTGTTAAAAATGACCCTGTAAAGGCTTTTTGACTTATCTGTATGAACTGATAATTAAATCCACCTTTTTTTTCCTGCTAGGCTGTTACAGCTACTCAGCAGGACATAAGTTTGTTTAAAATGCAAGAAATTATTTTCACTATAAAGGTACTCATTACTCAGTAGGACTGCAGGTGGCAGAAAAAAGGTCAAAGGGAATTATGTTTAATTCATGTTATATGCTTAAATCTGTAGTTACACAATTACTTGTATGTGATCCATCTGCCAAAACAAGAAGCAAAATTCACTCACCCTAATTGTAAAATCCATAAATGGGGAAACATGACACCCTGTAGCTCCCCTTATTGCTTGTAAGAATACGTTTAATTGAGTAAACAGTGAGAAACTCTTACTTCAGCTTTAGAGGAAAATGAAACAACAGGGTCTTCTAACCTGAACAATTTCTCTGTAACAGCCATGCACCAGGATATTAAAGCTCAATTTAATTCCTACAAAAAAGACAAAGTAGCTTTCTGGAAGCAGCACCTGG